CATAGGCTCTAAGGAATAAAGTCGGGTCATTGACCACGTGTGCAGGTTTGCATGCAGCATGCAGCATGTTCAAAGTTCTGTTATATTGTAACTATTAGGCTGATAGTCATGTAATATGCTAGGCTAGTTGGAAATGGAATGTTGTACAAAGGTGTAAAATATCAGGTAGTAATTTTCTATAATGACAAAGATATGAGGAAGACGCATGGTTTCCGTTTTTTGACCACCCTGTAACGGTATATTAGATTACGTTTTCTCCTGACTAGCCAAGATACAGCTTTACCCCATGCAAGATATTGCCATTTTTCATCCTAAGAAGTCACACGTGTAAGATGAAAAAAACTTTCTTGTACTCGTACCTTTGCAAAATCGTCCATTCTTGAGGCGCTTTGATAATGTTTCTTTATCTCGTCTGCGACTCGATAAAGAAGAATCATCAAAGCTCATCAAGAATGGATGATCTTGCACTGGTACTCATATAAGAACCTTTATATTCCAGTCATAGAAGTGACAAACGTTAGTGTTCATTCATGCTGTTGTTGCAGCTCTTTCATGTAACACAACTGTAATACATGTTACCGTTAACTACAAGGCCAAATAACTCTCCGACAATGGACAAGAAATCCATTTAAGATATATTTAAAAAGCATCGCCACAATAAATCCATTTTAAATATACAATGCTTGTATCTGGAAAGATATGCAACCGTTTCGTATATTCCCTGAGTAAAGTGAGAGACAAACCAATGGGCAGGATGAATGGAAAAACACAAAAACGGAAATTATTAGGAAACTTTCAACTGTTGGATTACACATTTGTCTTTTGTTCAGCTAAGCATGACGAAATTTATAAAAAAAACTTCATATTTGCTGATCATGTATACGAAATCATTGAATTTTAGACAGTCTAAAGGTAAATCGATACTCAGCCCTATGGTGAGAACACACTCTAAAAGTGCTGATCCTAGTTCTTTTATTATATTAATTTCCAGGGAAAATGTATATCATGCTTTTCTGAGCGTCTCAAATTTCGCGCATTTATTAATCATCTGAAACGCTCATGTAGGTCCTCCAAGACTTTTACCCCATCTGTATTTATCGATAATGTCCCCAATTTAGGTATGGTGGCGTGCACACCCCTGAAGTATAGAATGTCTGATATGTATATTTATATGGTAGTGTTCATATATGATATGATGCTGTGGTGTTTGATTCCCAGGAAGCATCTTTTCAAGACCATGGTGATTTGAGACTTCATACTTTCCAATAATGTCGAGATACACATCCCTTAAGTTTTTTTATACAGTAAAACCTGTTTAATCCGAACGCCATTGGGACCGGCTAAAAGCGTTCATATTAGGAGGTGTTCACATTTCAAGGTTTTTGCATTCGCAATATTCCGGATTCTGAGGAAATGTGAACACATTCTCGATATATATTTATAGTTCTTCTGACCACATAGCTTTCAATGGCATTCCTGAAATTTGAAAATTCGATTCAAATGTATCTAGTCATGCTTGAAAGCCCCATTATAATTGACACCATTCTAGATTTTTTCCAAAGTTTTGATATCATGACAATATTTGAGCAATTTTGTATGAAACATCAGAAATTTTATGAAAAGTGTTCAGATTAGACAAGTGAATTTTTCAAATATGACTGTTCACTGCTCAAATTGGGAGGTGTTCACATTATAAGTTTTTTTAACATGGGCGTCAATGGGAGGAAAAAATTGAACCGAAAAAAGTGTTCAGATTGGGAGGTGTTCGGATTAGCCAGGTGTTCAGATATAGAGGTTCTACTGTATTTTACATTTTGTAAACTTTCATCTACTGATGATATAGTCTCTTGAAAATTCTCTTCCTTTTAACATGGGAAATCCTCACTTCAGCAAATCCTGGTGTCATTTATTTATGGTGAGCACTGTACACAATCTTCATCAAGCCTCAACTAGACACAATACTTCTCTCTTTCTCTCCAAGCCATACATGTTCACAATAGTCCTCACTGAGCCTCAACTAAACAATACTTCTCTCCAAGCCTTCCCTGTGCACAATACTCCTCAATGAGCCTCATAGTAATGCATAGTAATTCATGGGATCTGGTTTATTATGCTTTCATGGATTTTCCTTCTTTCAAAGTGCATACGCCACATTCAATAAACTAGAAGAATTTCTTGGGTATCCTTATAACATTTTCTTCATTACATGCTGATAAATATGAAATAAAGATTAAATTATAGATAAACAGAACTACAAAGTTCAATTAATTCGAAACCATTTATTCCAATAATATACTTGTACATGCAGAGCCCAAAACCTTTGGAACTTCATCATCATTCATAAGATATAAGATGACCCATCAAGTATATACGAAACATTATTCGGGAAATGCCAGCACATTTTCAATTGATTCCCTAAAAGAAATCTGCCAGGCTGGCTACTCAAAGTGGATATTATGAACATAGTTTACCATAATTTAAACAATTATATATTCTCCAAATATATGAACTCCAAAAAGACAAGTGAAATAATTTGTTGCCTTATAGGTACAGGGTGAGCCAAAAAAGGTAACCCATCCAAATGTATGTTTATTAACTCAGTCATTCAGCATGGGTTTAAAATCATATTTGGCACAATTAAACCTTGTTCAATGTACTTTCATTCTACTAAGTGTCATTGATTTATCCCTGATAGCCACAATTTCATGGCCATTTACAAAACATACTCAAAATGCCAAAATGTGCCTCACTGACTGGACATAAATCCTACCAGATTTTTATCTGTAGGCCTATTTTTTACACTTACAACATTGAAACAAGAGATTACAACACTAAACCCATGCAGGATGACTGAGTAATTAAGATTTGATATGGTTACTTTTTTGGCTCACCCTGTATATAACTGACAGGGAGAGCTATCATTTCTTGACCCTAAATTTGGATTACCAGAACTCTTGAAATAACTCAAGCAGGTATTCAAAGTGTCATTGAACAAAGTGTCATTGAACAAAATGTTTACATGCAAATTTTTTACATGCAGTTATATTAGTGCATGTCATTCATATGCTCTATGATACAGTAGCAGTGGAATCTGTAAAGTAGGACACCTATAATAAAAAGTAGAACATCTATATTAGTGGAACACTTGACCAAGACCAATTGAGTTAATGTTAAATGAACCTTCATAAGTACAACCTCCAATGAGGGACACTTTTTAGATGTACTGAAGGTGTTCAACTTATTACTGTTTTATTCTTCACTGAAAATACATAGTAGGGAGTTTAAGCTTGCATATAAAATCCAAATGCAAACCTCAATGTATGACCATCACCCATACAAATGCATCATTTAAATAACTTCAATACACCTCTAGGTTGTGAAAAAAACAATGCAAGCTTAAACTCCCTATTAACAGGTTGAAAGTAACATAGATTTTATAAATAGAATACTGTGGATGTGAATGGAATTTCAACAAAATCCATTACATTGATACAAATGAAGTTGATATTGGAGAATGATATTGGAAAATTTCAAGATTTGGCCTTTTCAATTTTTGACCTCTCAATTTGTAATGAATGCTTGGGTTAATTTGGGCCCGCTTTGATTTGGCAGAATAGACCAAAAACACCAATTTACATCTTCGCCAAAATTTAGAAAGGATCTCTGGGAATTTGATTTGGTGTGTTAAAGTCAGTTTTAACAAATCTAAAAAGGATAAAAGTGATAATAAGAAAATGCCACTTCTAAATTGGCTCAGGGGAACTGCTTAAAATATAGTAGTTGAATTGTAGGAATGGGTGTAACAATTTATATTTTGTTCCAGTGTATATGGGAGTTGTGGTGTCAGAGCATGTTCAAGCCCCAGTGTCCGCCAAATTAAATAGCCAAAAAAGTGGCAAAATCGCCAAATGAAGTAGCGCCAAATGAACCCAATCTACAGTACGCAACAAGAAATAATGAAGTATAGGCTATAGAAAACTTAGAGAAACTTCAAAAACTTAGATTTGACCTGGATTGTTTGAGTTAGTTTTAGACATTAAAGTTTCGATACTTTTTAATTTACATTAATATTATGATCCTTTCACTGACTCATCATTTAATGATGTATCACTTTTTATAGAACAAAGTTCAGACAATATTAAATTGTGTATTGTTTTCTTGTCCCATTCTTTCCTCTTGGTCTGATTCTATGTCTGACAAGTCTGACAATTCAGAATCATCATCACTCTCCGAGGTGTTGTCAACAATTGTTTCATCAAGCATAGGCCTCATCATTAAAGAAAGGTAAACCCACCAATCCTTTCATATATGTAGCATCGTTGATATTGTTTACATCCATTTCCATTCCTACATTTCCATTTGTATCTTTAGACTTGTAATATAATAGAAATTGTTTCATTTCTTTTTTAAGGAGGACCTCTTCCTCTTTAAGTCTTTCAAATGATTCTTTCTTATTAACAAGGTCTCTTTTCTTCCCCAGAGTAATGTCCGACCTCCATGGGAAATCAGCTTTCAGAATACCTCCCATTTCGGTTGAATTAATTTGTACTTCATTTTCTATATCTTGTGCAGCAATGTTGTATATTTCCACTGCATTCTCAATTGCTTTCTTTGTCTTTTGGTTGGCCCTTCTCAGCTTGTGGCGTTCTTTACTTGTCTCTGAAAAATTCAAACAACCAAGTTCCTGAATATGTTAATCTTGTATTGATGGGATATCATACATTGTAATGTCTAAAACTAACCATTATTGCAGTATTAATGCTCATCCCCTAATAAGCCCCCACCCCACTTTCAAGGCTTAGATGCAAATCCACTGTACCTATTTCCAAAAAACATAATCACATTATACTAGAATGATACTATTGTGATTGTTCAGAGGGAACAAATGTTTCACTTTGTAATAACTAGGAAAGCAAATCATATAAATATAAATAAATAACATATTCATAAGATAGCTTACCGGTAACTATTCTTGGTTGTCCATTGTTTAAAGCATTGAAAACATCTTCTTGTTTTCTCAGCTGAAAATATTCTACCTCGGGAGAAACACCATTCCTATTTGTAGAATCTGGAAAAGGTGAAAAATGATATAAAACTACAAATCAGCAACTCCACGGAGTAGCAAATCCCAATGAACACTGCATACATGAATCTGTAAATGGCTCAATGTAATATTTAAAATCTATTCTAACCTTTATTAAATTGGCAGATATTCCATTTAGGAGTTTCAAAGGCACAAATGATAGACATTAGAATGTTTGAGATCTAATAGAGTATTATGTAATCTTAATTTGAAAATGACAACTGCAACAACAAAAAAATTCGACCAACAATGGAGCATGTTGTTAGGTCATCACATGATATATCCTACCTTGAACATGATCAAGTATATCTTGCTTCATTTCAATGAGGTCATATTCCTTGTACTTGGCAAGGTCTTCTTCAGCCTCAGCAACCATTTTCTCACCTATTTGAAATAAAAAGTTTTGACATACAGGCCAAAAATTGCTAGCAAAGGATTGTTTCCTGCATATACATCCAGGGTTTCCACTAGAATTTTTCACAGCAGACTAAGTATATGAAAACAGCAGGCAATATTAATGGAAACTAGATAACGGCAACTCCGCGGAGTAGCAAATCCCAACGAACAAAATATCAATTACCGAATTCCAATCAATTATACTCATTACTTTGGTTGAAAATGAAAAAATTAGATTTTAGAATTGCGAATTCCTGCAAAGCAGCCATTTTGAATTTTCTGAGGTACAAATCTGAAAAATAATACCATAATTGTGATCTACTCCAAAATTCCTTCAATTTGAGTATAATATAGCCATACTTTTAAGAGATCGAAAAATTATTGCGAAATCGTACATTAGACGGCCATTTTGAATTTTACGAGGCTCGAATCAGAAAAAAGATACAATATTTGCAATCTACTCTTAATTGCTTTTCATTTGAGTATAATAAAGCTATACTTCAGAAAGATCTAAAAATTAGCAAAAATTTCTGTTTTCCTGTCCCCCCATACATGGCCCCTGGGGGTCAGGATGAAAAACACAGAATATATGTGAAATAGATCTCTCAAGTGAACACCTGTATCTAGTTAACACCCTTCCTCTCCCCACATACTCTACTGACTTTTGTAGAAATTATTCTCTCTGGAGTGAACAGCTACAAACCCTGAACACTACCAAAATTTCAAACAATAATATTAATTACTTTGGTTTAGAATGAAAAATTTATGATTTTTGCGAAAAAGTCCCGTCATTTTTAAAGCGGCGGCCATCTTGAAAAAATTTTTTTTGCGTAAAACTATTCACCAATATACATCTTTCGACTAAATATGAAGAAAATCTGTCAACTAGTATTTGAGTTATCTTCCGGACAGACGGACGGACTGACTGACTGACTGACGGACAGACGGACGGAGGGCTTCACTATATCCCTAACGAACTTTGTTCGTTGGGATAATCATAAATTCAACATGGAAAAGTTGAAAAGTCCCTCAAAACAATGGGCGATTATATGAAAACAACTGCTGAAAATCGCTTGTTGCCTGCTGCTAATGAAGTCCCTGTACATCTATTCCTGGTTTTCTATACATTTGAAAAATATGACAAATAAAGGATTAACACAGGGAACTCTGAACTCTAGCTCAAATTATTACAATGTAAAGTAAAACCCATCTGAGTGGACACATCTCTCAAGTGAACACCTGTATCTAGTTAACACCCTTTCTCTCCCCACATACTCTACTGACTTTTGTAGAAATTATTCTCTCTGGAGTGAACAGCTACAAACCCTGAACGTTTTCTCAGTAAAAAAATGTTCAATATACACAGGTTTTACTGTAGTTGATAATGTGCAGTTCTTTCTGTTTCAAACATATTCCATGTACAGGGTGATCCTGATGTAACTTCAAAGATATTGCATTTCCATACTGAATCTCAAACAAAACTAAGTGTATACAAAATATATAGTCTATTTTTGATTGGTTGATTTTGAAAGATTATTCTAATTTATTCAGCTTATCAAGTCAAGAGAGTTTTATTTACCCCATATGACATCACGATGGGTTACCATGGTAACCATGAAACGAATCACATTGTTAACTAAGAAATTTTTGTGGAAAATCTGTTTTAAGTTTCAAGATGACTGTCAAGTAGAATTGAATTGACAAAACCTTTGAAGTTACATCTGGATCAATTTATATAAAGATACCTTCCTATATCTTCGAGTTAAATACTCCAGGAGCGACTTCACTTTCTTCGTTCCCCAAAATGAAACGAGACGTGTGATCACCTCCTCTCTTCCTATAAAAGTGAGGCAAAAAAATGTGTAAATCATTTGTTTTATGTTTTCTTCTGACTATACCTGCCGACAAACGGTATGGAGGCATTCTTTATTGATAATTTGTTTGAAAATGTATAATTTACTATTACTTAGTTATTGACTTCAACTGTTTGAATATAGTTAACAATTTTACTCACTAGCACAACCCATGTATTTGGAGGGCTTGCAAGCATTGGATGTTGTCCAAGCACCCTTCTTCCAATCACCACCCCACATTATCTGAAAATACATATGTTCAGTTTTGTAACTGGATGATCAGGAGCTTGATATAGCAAAATACATACTGCCGATAGGAATTTTGCCCACCTCCAGCTCCTGATCATCCAGTATTTGTTTTTATGCACTTCTCAATCAAGATACTGAGTGTACATCTTTTAAGAATTTCTGGTTTTCTTAAAACTCAAGATGGCGTCCTATACACCAAACAAAAACAAAAAACGTTGTACCAGGAATTTTCTTTTTCATTTAATATAGTTTTTGTACTGTATATGTTATGCTTTGCTGTATATTCCATATCATTGAAGCTAATAATAAAAAGGTATTCTCAGTATTCAAAAAAGGAACACTTATATACCAAGAATATATAAGACTATATATTGTAGTTAAATACTTTTTCTTACCTGGCATGTAGAAGAATGGCCTTTGGCCATAGGAGTGCATACAGTGTGCATAAGCGAATATCTCCCCTTGGAACATGTTTAGAAGTTTAGGAGGTATAACATGTCTGCATGTAGAGCCAAATACACCAGTTTGGTCAAGACGTGCCATCCTATGCGAGCTCTCTTTAGCAGCTTTCCAGTGGCTTTGTCCACAAACATCAACTTCTGAGTTCTACAAAAAGAATATAGCACTTATTTTGAACACAACTGAATGAAATATTTCATATTTTTCAATAAATATAGTTTTATCCATTGTGCATATATATCTCTTACATAAGTCAATAATTTGCCCAGATAATCGTGGCAAGATTTTGTCACACTTTCATATTGGATGGATGGAGGGTTTCACTTTATCCCAACCAAACTTTGTTAGCTTGGATAATAAAGGTATGAATACATGTCAATTGCTTTCATATTTATGGTATTAGAATGAATTTTTCTACTTTAATAGGCCATGAAATGAATTCTCTGATATTTAACAGAGAATCTACTTTTTAAGGCCCAATGTCTTTTGTTATTAAATTTACTTACAGGGGTAAGATCACTGCTGATCTTTTTAAGATGACATACTGGTCGACTTCTTCATCTGGGGTGAACAGTTCAGATCCAAAATATGATTTTCTTTCTCCCCTAATAAAAAAAATAATAAAAAACAAATCATAGAAACAATCAGGATGAAAAACAATATAATGAATAACAGGATATCTGTTGTAAGATATGTGATGTGTTAACATTCCTAACTTATACATTTTTATGCCATCAAGTATTCACATATCATCACATATGAAAAAAAATAAAACAGTCCATTGGTTTTTGAGTTTTGGCAATAATCATAGACAAGGCATTAACATGCAAACTGTCACCACCTGTCATTTGTTACAGACAGCAACTGCCGAACACCAACCACTGAACACCAAACACAAAAAAAATTGGTGACCATAAAAATATGTCACATGCAAGACTGCTTTAAAACCCACACACTAATTACATGCTCAGCCTTTTTATCTTCATATTTTCATCAATCATAATAGAATGGGTACTTAAATCACTTAACATACCTTAAGAATATCTATCTTTGACTGTGGTTTGTTTGTTGGTTGTCTTGGAACCCAAGCAGGATTGCTACTATTCCAAATAATATCAAAGAGTGGTTCTGGCTGTATTCTCGATATTGAGGGATATAATGGCTGGCCATCTTCATCCACACAGTCAAGGTCAAGGTCTTTAGAGGCAACTTTCTTAAAGTTTTCAATCGTAAAGGGCCCATTGTCTTTGATATACCATGTCCAAAAATTCACTGTGTCTCCAGTTTTTTGAGTCCTCCAATATGCATCAGCAACAAGCCTTCGCTGTGATAAGGTGCCGATTTCATGCTCATGCTTATCATCATACCTCACGCCACGCTTGATTCTGGAATACAAACATTCATCTTTAACTTTTAATTACGGACAGATTTATAATAATGGGAGGCTTATAGGCATCAATGTTCAGTATAAATTTCCACTGGATTTTAAATATTTTTTGAACCATTAGTAAGATACTGTAGATTTGGTTAATTTGGTGCCCGCTTTAATTTGGCGAATTTGGGGAAATTGTAAAATTCGCCAATATAAATCTTCGCCAAAATTTAGAATGAATCCCCGGGAATTATCTAGGGTATTTTGTCCAGTGTATTTAGGTCACTTCCGGTTAAGTTTTTTCCAAAAATATGAAAAAAAGTCTCATAAATTGGCTCAGAACTGGTCAGTCACCCATTAATACTCAGGGAAAAACTAGAAAGGAAAAGCGCGGTATAGTAGCAACATCGATCGAAGTGCAAAATGTAAAGGTTGATCTCACAAAAATGTACAAACATGGTGAATATCGCCAGTGGTCCTCAAAAGAAAAAATGAACATAGCCAAACATGCCCAATTTTTTGCATATCCGCCAAATTAAATAGCCGCCAATATGCCAAAAATGGCAAAATCGTCAAATCAAGTAGCGCCAAATTAACCCAATCTACAGTAACAGAAATTCTGTTTTGACCTCCAGTCAGTTTGACTAGTTCAACATATCATTTACATGACCAGGATCACAATGTACATGGTCAGAGGGCTGAAAAAATTATTTCATCATGTTTAGGGTCATTCTGACCATGTACATTGTGATCCTGGTCATGTAAATGATATTTGGCACTAGTCAAACTGACTGGAGGTCAAAACAGAACTTTGTTATCCACAGGAAGATTAGGACTTGAGACATACGAGGGCTCTGCCTGATCTTCCATACAAACCCCTGTGCTGTTATCTTGGTTCAAAAAATCTTCAAAATTCAGTATGGTTTTGTCACTTCCTGTTTTGGCATTTCCTGTCAGAATCATGGGACCTCAAGATCATGCCTGCTGGAGATTTCAATTTATTTTTAAAAAAATTCAAAAAACAAACATGGCGACTTCGTGAATCGAAAATATAAGCCAATGTCGAAATAACCCCATGGTCGAAATAGCCCCATGACCATAGATCTCGGCCAGATTCTTTTGTAGTAGGATCAGTAGCTCAATAATTATTCTTTGAGCCTATGAGATCCTACTACAAAACGATCTGGCCAATATCTGTGCCCATCACGAAGTAAACCCATTACACTAAATCCAATAAAGTTGAAAACAAAATGCCCCGTAATATTTTTCCCAAACGTTATTTTTAAAGGGTTACGATAAGCTTCCCTAATGAAAAAGAAAATCCGTTTTGGACTTCGAGTATACCCATATACTGTGTAGTTGACAACGAGTATCAATACAATTGGGAAAATAATAGTATATGTATAATTCATATAGCGATGCAGTAAGCATTACACCTATCCCCGACCTATATATTTTGAAATTGTCGTTTTTAGCGTCCCTGCGTTCCCAGCAGTCATTATATCGAGATATCTATACAAATTATTTTTGCATCTTGGAATCAAGAGAGTGTCTGTGTAATTGTATAAAAGTTAGAAAGTGTTCATCAGGTATGAGCCCCCTTTAAATATTTCGTGCGGCAGACGCTAAATAATGATGATATGATATAAATGAAGATATTTTATGTTGTGAGAGTACTTAGACCACGCCAACTGTGTCCAGAACCTCTATCCATACTAAGAAATACGTTTTGATGTTTGTACTAAAAGCAAGTTTAACTGATGTTTAATGTATATTGCGTCGCTATAGAATGAATTATAGTACTATTTTCACAATCGTATTGCTATTAGGTGGCAACTATACAGATACGAGTATCATTGAAGTCCCAGAGCGACTTAGTTTCAGAAATATCCCAAATTTAAAATCAAAGATGACCATTGCACATGCACCAAACACTCAGTTCTACCGCATCAAATATTTCCCAAAGGCTCCGTCTGCATAGGGTGTATGTAAGGTGGAAGAGTCATCAAGGGGACTTGTCATTGAGGGGAAGATCAAATGCAAACATAAATACATTCAACACACTATATATCTACTTATTTTTAGTACACAAACTTTTTAAGGGGTGAACAATTACCTGTGTCGCTTCGTCGAACTGTACCATATATGTAATATATAGTATTAAACACCTTGAACAAATCTTGGCCCTTGTACCCCTGGCCTGCTTTAATTCAACCTAGATAAGTTCATAAAATGTCTGGTTTTAAAATAGGTTTGTAGTTAAATACACCAAAAGTTAAATCGGACAAATACAATTATTTTAAATCTAAGAACAGCAGGTACAAGTACAGTTACGTTGTTACAAGTACAAATACAACATCTGCATTATTCAATTAATCAATATTGTTATCGCATGAAAATCTCATCCGTGACAAAAGCAACTTCGACGACAAAAGCCAGTATTTCAATAATATTTCGCAAGACGTCTTGAAAATGGAGGTGTAAACTAAACATAATTTTTCTAAAACGTTTAAGCCAAGACGTCTTGGAATGCCGCGTTTTGTGTAAATACAGGGGTAGTGTTAATGACGTGCTTGGCGGTTTCTAGACTTACCTGGCCTTATCATGATTATACGTCTCCCCTCGTCATCAGGTACTGGGAGTGGAGTCATTAGGCTATAATCCAAACAAAATATGATTGAGAATAACACAAACACTATTGCAAAGAATTGTTATTTAATGCAGGCAGTCATAGAAATTGAAGTCATATCATATACAGCTAATACTAAAAAAATAAAGTTATGAATTATGTAGAACCATTCGTCGTTAGAATTTATGAAAAATGTATAAACAAGATGTTAAAAGCAAATAGAAAATTTCAAACTAAATTTCAACCATACAGATTTTTATGGCTGCTTCTACACACATTTTGTATAAGAGAAAAACATGTTTAGTTCACCAAATCGCCACCAAAACCTTTTATCGCAAAAAAATTACACGAATATGCAAAAATATATCCTTGCATCCCAACAAAATTAATCATTTACCCTATTTCGAGTGCTGCTTTGAAACCTTTACTATGCGTGTCAATGTCTTTTCCCCAGAATGCCAACTTGGTGCAGGTTACAGCAACATAATTCTCAATAAGAGCTCTGGCTTCAAGCTGGCTAAATGCACTCCTTCTGAGAACATCAATAGGAAATGAGTATCTGGAGTTGATTAGTGTATTAGAGTTACTATGCCTTTATCATTACGTGAACGACAAAATCTAGATCAGTCTTGAATTCAAACTACGAATGTTTTTTAACCAACTGAACATGATATGAAAATGTACACAACCCCATAGCCTATTAATAAATCAAGCAGTTAGTGTAAATAAGACAGCTAGGTATATAGTACCCCACACAAAAGACTGTCCCCTCACATTTCCTCATATACTACGTCGACTTTTCCACAGCTGGACTTTGAATGTTTGAATCGTGTGATTTTCGTCTAATTACAATCGGAGCTACTGTACTTTGTTGTCTTTAACTCGCTGGAAGTCACTTCTAGAACTTTTGTTTTGTAAAAACTCTAAATCTGTAAATCTATATGTAGCAATTAATATGTACAAATGTAAATAATCTGTTAATGTGAATTGTCTGTAATTATATGTTATGTTTAAATCTTCACATATGTGGAGGAAATAAAGACACTGAACTGAACTCGCTGGAAGTCACTTCTAGAACTTTTGCTATTGTAATAACAATCGGGGCTACTGTACTTGGCTGTCTTTAACTCGCTGGAAGTCACTTATAGAACTTTTGCTATTGTAATTACAACCGGGGCTACTGTACTTGGCTGTCTTTAACTCGCTGGAAATCACTTCTAGAACTTTTGCTATTGTAATTACAATCGGGGCTACTGTACTTGGCTGTCTTTATCTCGCTGGAAGTCACTTCTAGAACTTTTGCTATTGTAATTACAATCGGGGCTACTGTACTTGGCTGTCTTTAACTCGCTGGAAATCACTTCTAGAACTTTTGCTATTGTAATTATAATCGGGGCTACTGTACTTGGCTGTCTTTAACTCGCTGGAAGTCACTTCTAGAACTTTTTTATTGTAAAATGTATGGAACATCATAGAATGGTCCTTGAACTCATCTCGGACATCATCAAGGACCAGCTTGCGTTCCTCAAAGTTCATGGGACAGAAAATACGATGGCCATATTCATCGGCAGGCTCACCTGGTGGACTTCATCAAACAACCTTATGTTGAACTGCATTGTTAAATGCTTATGTTAGTCGAACATTTCACACATCATACTGGCCACTACCAAAACCCTTGACACCCGTTATGTTTGAGAAATACAATCCCAAGAATTAAAAAGTAAAACAGTAACAAGACAGTGTACATAACCATTTGGACAATATTAGATCAGAAGCTCAATTATTGGGCAAATATTGGCAATAAATAGAGAACGAACTGGCAGCATTGTAGCGGATGTTTGACATTGTGAGCCAATGGAAAAAACGTTAGCAATTTTAAAAATCCCATAAATTGGGAGTCACAAATACACCAGAGAATAAGCATACCGAGTTTCATTAAAACTGGGCTTTGGGAAAGTGGTAGAATATGTGGAAGTATGAGGGGCCTTTTGTGTGTGGTACTTCATTGTTATGGGTACTATATTAATCCATATATTGTCTGCTAGTTGAATTTGTTCAGGAAACACTGCGAACTTTTCGTTTCAAAAACCTGTCCGCTGAATTATGTAACACTTTAAATTCATCAAAATGAAACATATAGATATATAAACTGATAATATCACATAACGTAGATGAGCGACGATAAACGATAAAAAATGATTCACCACATTCGTTCTACAGAAGAACAAATACTTAATGTATATGCTATCGGTAACTGGACAACTCGGACCCAGGACAACTCGGACCCAGGACAACTCGGACCCAAGACATCTCGGACCCAAGACAACTCGGACCCAAGACAACTCGGACCACTTTTTGAAATGATGATATTTACATCATAATATGGGGTTTTAATTTTTGTTTTATGTTTAGATGACATATTATGTACTGTTCATTCATTTATTGTGTTAATTTGATGAAATTGTTTTAAATCAACTTATTATTTGATGGTAGTTAAGAAAATATTGAAGCTAAAGACCCAAGACAATTTGGACCACTTTTTGAGATTATGATCTTTATCATGATATGGTTTTTATTTTTTATTTTATGTTTAGTATGACATATTATATATATTTTGAATTCAAATGTTGTGTTAATTTGATGTAATTGATTAAAATCAACTTAATTTATGAGAATTAAGAAGAAAATATTGAAGCTAAAGATCCAAGACAACTCGGACCACTTTTTGAAATTATGATTTTTATCATGATATGGTTTTTATTTTTTTTATTTTATGTTTAGTCTGACATTTTATGCATATTTTGAATTCAAACATTGTGTTAATTTGATGTAATTGTTTAAAATCAACTTAATTGGTGAGAATTAAGAAGAAAATATTAAAGCTAAAAACCCAAGTCAACTTGGACCACTTTTTGAAATTATGATTTTTATCATTATATGTTTTTTTATTTATTTTATGTTTAGTATGACATACTCGTATATACATATTGTGAATTCAAATATTGTGTTAATCTGATGTAATTGTTTTAAATCAACTTAATATTTTGGTGAGTTTTCATGTTCCGATCGTAATATCAGATCAGGTGTTATATCGACGCATAAACCCTTTAGGGCTAGGCACAAAAGCTTTCGGACCCCTCACTCCCTTTGGCCAGTTTGGGTACAGAACGAATGCATGCATAGCCCTGCGGGGTTTATTCGTCCATATAACGAATGACTGATGTTCAGTCTATATCTCTTAATTAAATGATAAAAATGAGGATTTACAGAATACAAACACATTCCTCAATCTTTCAGTGAGATTAAGATTAAATTATCAAAATCTTTAGGATTAACAGAATACAAACTCTTTCATTGATCTCAATACTGCATCAATCTTTCAGTGAGATTAAGATTGAATGATCAAAAAATTGAGGATTTACAGAATTTTAAGTTTCCATTGATCTCTATGTGACATAGGTCTTTCAGTGAGATTAATAAGATTAATAAGACCGCACGGTGGTGAGTGTAAATGAGATAATGAGATTAGGATTAAAATTATTATTGTTTCAATTCCTTAGTGATTTTCCAAATGAGTTGGTATTAACTGTATGAAAAGACTCATTGACACCTCTATATAACAAGTTTTATTCTCAACTCTCATCAAATAAGTTAATTGAAACATCTTGTTCATCTTTACATGTAAACACAAAATATAGATTCAAAATATATCTAAACCGTGTCATGCTAAACATTTATAAATAATCCCATATTATGAAAACAAAAAAGTACCTAACAAAAACTAACATTTCAGAAAGTGGTCTGTGTTGTCTTGGGTTTATAGCTTCAGTAGCTTCTCCTTAATCTTTATCAAATAAGTCAAATTAAAACATTTTAATCAAATTAGTACAAAATATGTATTCACAATGTATAATATACTTAATAAGCATAAAACAAAGACTAAAAACCCTAAACAATGAGAAAAATCATTATTTAAAAAGTGGTCCGAGTTGTCTTGGGTCCGAGTTGTCTTGGGTCCGAGATGTCTTGGGTCCGAGTTGTCCTGGGTCCGACTTGTCCTGGGTCCGAGTTGTCCGGAAACCATGCTATCCCCTATTTCCATTACCTTGGTAAAACATTTATCCCCCTTACCAGTTGAACATTTGAAATGGGGTTGTTCCATAATCCATTTTCGAAGTTGATCAACAATTGCTTGTCTTTCCTTTGGATTCTCTTTTAATTCCTTCTGGGCTTTCACAATCGATTTAGCATCGAGGGAGCATACATATTTTTCTTCTGCATTTACAAGCCTGGCAACTTCACGTTGTACTACCTTCTCGGATGCCATGGTGATTAATTCTAAGATACTCAAAAGCTGTGACTTGTTTTCAAGTTTTACTTCATTGCAATTCTCGTTTATAACACTAACAAGTTGATGAGCGTCAAAACATTTTTCTACTATACCGTGTGTTTATGTGTATACTGTTTATAAAGAATTACCAGTGGTACATACAGTTAGAAAAAACTGAATAACCAGTAATTTAGTTTATATGTCGTGTCATTCTATAAAAAGAGAAGACTGAATAGGGCAAAACACTAATGTTTTACTTTTGCATTCCCAAGGACACGATACACCGCTTTATGTTTTTAGGTGATTCATTAACAATTAAACTCGTGGGTAGTGCAATAAGACATTTTTCATTGGGGAAAACACCTAAAAGGCATTTTATTTTTGGTGTTTTTAACACAATCTTAAATAATTGAAAGGTGGCGTTTTTTCGTATTTCTTTTATTAAATATTAGTTCTTGAGTATACGTTAACCTTTTTATGTTTCACTACAATATCACTGGTGGATATCAAGCTAAGGTAACTGCCGTCACCTTCGCATTCAAGATGGCTGACGAAAATTATCGAATTCGAAATTTTCAGTTTTCATCGAATTAAACCACTTAATATTTGACAAAATGCTTTAATATTTGAACTATATAAGGCTTTTATGACACGGAAACTCCGAAGTATGATGATTTCTTCATATATCGTTCGTAGGCGTCTCAATTAAACGATATCTTCCACCGCTTAAGGGAAGGTTACTGGGATTTGAGTTTTACTTATGATACGGTTACTGATTTGTGTTGATGCGGTAACGTTTTGCAATATGTGAAAAGAATTTAAGCCAAATACTTATGTATATTGTGTGACCATTCCTTTCAGGCGTTGGTCCCCAAAGTTCACGTTTGATGCAAAGCATCTTGTGCAAAATTTGGTCATTCTGACATTGCACTGAGTCAAAGACTTGAGAAATCCTTAATTAAAGAATATATCAGATAAGTCGAATTTCCCAAGAAATACTGTTGGCAATAGAGTCTTCATTTTTATTTACTCTAAAATGTGGTACAAGTGACGCATTTTGTAATTTCCTGCACCCCCGATGTACAATTGTACTATAATATAATATGATATAGGCCTTCAATGTATAATAAAAGCTCTCTTTCTTCTCAGTCAGTGTATTTTTATCCCACCGAACGAAGTTTGAGGGGAGTATAGGAAAGCCGTCCGTTCGTTCGTTCGTTCGTCCGTCTGTGTGTCCGGGCGATAACTCAAATACCGGTTGACGGATTTGATTCATGCCTTATGGGTGTAGGACCTCTGATAGAGAAAGGATCTTCAATATTCAATTAAAAATGGCCGCCATTTTTCGTAAAAATGTAACCTTTGATAAATCAAATACAAGTCAACGGATTTGATTCAAATTCTATATACTAATGCCTGAGGACAAAGGAGCTTCGCTCAAGAAGAGATTTTCAAGATGGCCGCTCCTTTTCAAAATGGCGGCCATTTTTCGTAAAAACGTAATCTATGGTAACTCAAATACCAGTGAACGGATTTGGTTCAGATTTTATTTGATGATTCACAGGGACACAGTAGCTCTGTTAGAGAAAAGATTTTCAAGATGGCGGCTGAATTTAAAATTCGCAGCCATTTTTCGTATAAAATGTAATCTATGATAACTCAAATACCAGTGAATGGATTTGGTTCAGATTTGATATGATGATGCCTAGGGACACAGTATCTTTGCTAGAGAAAGAATCTTGAGATGGAGGCTGAATTTCAAAATGGCTGCCATTTTTGAAAGAAATGTAATGATGTATAACACAATTTGAAAAAAACTTCAATATGACGGCTGAATTCCAAAATGGCTGCCGTTTTTCAGAAAAAACATAATCTTTGATAATTCAAGTATAAGTGGATGGATTTGGTTCAAATTTTGAATGCTGATATGCTCTGTTCAAGAAGAAACTTTCAAAATATGTTTTGTTCGGTGGGATTTGCTACTCCGTGGAGTTGCTGTTTTCTAGTTTTCATAAAATGAATGACATTGTGGTTGCCTCTACGTATTTCACAATGTAACATTTACCACTACTCTAACGATATAAATATAATATAAATATCGATTAAATTGGCAGATATTAAATTCCAAACTATATTAGATCTAGAATTTCCACTGATTTAAGCATTTTGGTGACCATTAAGTCAAAGTTAAAAATCATAAAGACAATACAGTATGAAATATCTAGTATTACGTAACTACAATTTGATGAGATCTCTAAGTAATAGCAAATTTCTGTTCTAGATAATTTTGAATATTATGAGGTACGAATCAGTAAAACAGTACCATATTTGTGATCAACTCTAAAATTCCTTTAATTTGAGTATCTATATATAGCCGGCCATACTTTGATCAGGAAATTGATGCATAATCCCACAATTTACTCTGTCATTAGAGTGTTATAAAGCTATACTCCTGACAGATTTCAAAATTAACAAAAATTCCTGTTTTCCCGACTACTCCTTACACTGCCCCTGGGAGTCGAACTGACAAGCACGGAATAATGTGAATATGTGAAAAATAGTTGTTGTGAATATACTACTTAAATTCCAAACCATTACTATTACTTTTGCTTAAAATATAGAATAAAAATTCCCGCCATTTGTAAAGGGGCGGCGATCTTGAATTTTTTGTGTAAAACTATTTACAATTTATATCTTTCCACCAAATATGAAGAAAATCCGTTCACTAGTATTCAGTAATCGTTCGGACGAACAGACGGACTTACTGATGGACGGACTAACTGGCGGATGGAGAGCTTCACTATATCCTTTCCGAACTTTGTTCGTTGGGTTAATTCAAAGCAATGTCCAATACGCAACTTTGATTGGCTAAGCTTTGGGACTTATGAGCATCAAAACATTGAAGGATACACATAGCATGATAGTAGCACATTTTCTAAATCAATATGAAAAGCCTTTTAAAAAATCAGCAAGTAATCGACCAATATTGTAGACTTAAGCAATACATATAAAATCGAAACGTCAACCTGTACGTACAATGTATAATTAGCCCTCTACAAATGCTTGTAGTTTTCTCACACAACAATCCCTCAGTTAGTGTTTACTTAGTCCGTTACTAAGAACACACATCATCGTGTAATATGCCATTGATAGTTATATATCTGGTTTTGTATGAAATTCTCGTATCGTAAGATATTTGGAGAACACGAATGACATACATCATCTTCTTTAGAAAGCATTATACAGTTTTGTGTATTGAAATCCAAATTGCCAGCATAGTATTCAATCGACATAAGTAATGAGGATGCTTCTCATTGTTGTAGTTGTTTGGTTTCTTTCCATTTTTAAAAAATATACAGGGTGACACAACCAACTTAGGATTCTTCCCTTGTACTTATATCATTACAAATAGGCATATCAATTTATCAATATACAGGGTGTTCCAAAAGTAACAGGACTGGTGCTGGCATTTTGTCAATTTTGCACCGAGTGTCTTCATATGTTCACAAATTGTACTTTGAAGTATTGCAACTCAAATTTTAAAGTTTCAGAAAAATGATGAAATGCACTTAGAGTTATGGTTACTATAGTAACATGACATCTCAAAACCTGGGGCAACTTTTTTCCTGAAAATCTAACATTTTTGAATTACTGAAGAAAGTATCTAATTCACTTATTATAATACAACATTTCTTGTTTATTTTATTAGTTGCTTTGTTGTTAAGATGTTGCTATACAAGCAGATACAATCAGATTCAAGTATAATTTCATAATGATATTAATATTTATTCAATTTCCTGAAATATCACTATGTATAACAGTCTGAACAATTCACGGTGAGTTTTTGAAAAGACCAAATTTGAAGCAAGTCATCCACTTTGATAGCGCACCTGCCCGCAGGTCACCATTAAAGACCAGAACGGAATGATAATCAGTGCTGTAAGACCTTTAAAGATGAGAATGACCTTCTCCAACTTGTCCAATTGACCCTGCGTGACATGTCCTCAAATGGGTTCACTCATGTGTTTGGGTCATGGATACAGAGTACTACTCTTGTACTGACCAAAGAGGAGCCTATTTTTTAAAGTAGAGGATACATAGGAATATCAAATGATGTAAAACAAATGTAATTCCCACCAGTTGTTGCATTTCAAATTTGATATGGCATGTACAAAATGATATGGGATGTACAAAATGCTTAATGTCTCTGTAACTTTTTGCGTGGAATGTTGCCCCGGGTATTGCGATGTCATGTTACCATAACAACCATAGCTCTACCTGAGTTTCATATATTTTGTCGACTTTTTGCAGTCTTAGTAACAATACATGAAAGTACATTATGTAAAATTTTGAAGAGGATTGGTGCATATTTAACAAAATGCCAGCACCAGTCCTGTTACTTTTGGAACACCCTGTACATTTGGGAAACCTTATTCTATGCATAGCGAGTTAATCTGAAAATAGCATTTTGAATTCGATACTTGTTTGAAAATACATTGAATTACAACAAGTTTCACAATGCATGCAATTCTACAAAATAGATGCATACGTTAGTCATTATTAGTCCAAATTGAGTTTTCTGAATGAGGCCTGTGGTCCAAGATCACCTGGTTTCTTAGACTCGTTATACATCATGCCTGATGACGTAATATTCCATATTTTATCCCGCACGGCTTTGTTCTGCAACGCCTCTTTGTAGCTAGCTGAAATTCAGAAATAAATGCACCGAGAATAAATTGTGTTAAACCTTGTCTCGTGACATCATAGAATCAACAAATCAAATTGCTTTACCGACACCAATTTATTTAATATCTAATCGATAAATCATCTTGCCTAGTTGTGATCTTAGTTATAAGATTTATGGTTAGAAACTAGCATGTCAAAAGTTTTCGGTGACAACACTAACTCAAACTTTATTTGAAATTTCTAACCCTGAATCTTGAATAGTGATCCTTGACAAGGCCCAGTATAGTCATCAGGGAGATATTCTGAGGGCAGCAGTCTCATTGGGATATGTTTATACACATCCTCCATGTTATTCCCATGTAAGAACATCTGCAATTATTTGATATATTTCGATTGTGTGTATCCAGCTAGTAAACAATATGTTAGAAGCAGACGTAAAGCCATATAAACCTAATGTAAGGCATTTTTGTCAAAATCTAAGATCTATCATTGTCAAGATCACTATTTTATCTTGTCAACTCATATAACTGAAGGATATAGGAAATTTCTCATTTTGAAGAATATGGCGTTGCGAGTCAATGTCGTAATATTTATATGAGTTTTCTCCCCAGGTAAGATCAATACGCCCGTTAGAGCGAATAACATTGTCACACGTTTTCAACAAGAACGGCCTATCCAAGCGTACTGACACCGCTTAATTCTGCTGTGCCAATCTTGGCAATCACATTCGTGTTGCCTTGTCGCTGGTGCATCACATGAGTCTCATTGCTAAATGTCTTTCAAAAGAATTAGATGTAGGTGCGCTTGGATGAGTTGTTTTTGTTGAAAACATGTGACCATGCAATTTGCACCGCTGGTCTTATTGTTCTCTTTCGTGAGACCTGGGGAGGATTCTTAAAAAATATTACATAATTGACTTACTCCGCGGGCAGTTCAAGAACGCAGCCTATATTTCAATCATGATACTTTACAATCCATATTTATGATTGCGAACTGACTTTCTTGATATCATCAAACAGTGTGGAGAATCACTCCGCTGTTTTAAAACAAAGTTAGATTTGAGAAATCAGAACAATTTTCTTCAGTCAAAAACGCAGTCTTGTAAAGGTCTTACATAATGCGCAATATTTAAACCATTAAAAGTATACACCATTTGCTTTAGGAGTTGGTATCTCAGCTTAGTATGTAATAGACATATTTATGTTCTATATGGCTTTCATGGAGATCAATGGCAATTACTCATTTTGTTAAATGGAAAGTCTTATTTTGTTTCTATCATAAACTTATTGATTGATACATTATTTTATATTGTGTATTGTATTAAGTACCCTCTCGCGAATCTTCTGGGGCAGGAAGGGCATTATTGCACTCATCAACGTCTGGGCCACTGCTGCAGCATTGTAAAAATGCCAACCTTTCATTCGCACAGGGTACTTGTTCTAAAAACAAGCAAAGTAACAGTTTGACTATAGATATTGATTTTATTATTCGTAATTAAAAATTTTTAGTTTTTGAGCTATAATACAATTATTTCCAAGTCAAATTTTAAAAATTCTATTTACCATGAAGAAACTAAAAAATTTTATCAAGTTATCCAACCCAGAAAATGCCAATGTTTTTGGTGTGATGTTCGTTTGATCATCCATCACAACTATGCCATTGACCTAAAATCAGAAAACCTCAATCAAAACATACAGCTTATATTAATAGAACCATTACGATGAAAGAATGAAACATAATTGAAATTAAACGAGGGCAAGATACTCAATCCGATACCATGTTCATGTTAATTCAAACAAACACATTATATGGTATATAGGGTGTCTCAAAAATGTGCCCAAAAATATATCAACAGTACATCGTTACAGATGAACCAATCAATAATTTCTGACATGTTTTGCAGAGTCCTTGAGCTAAGCTTTTCCCCAATACACAGTTTTTAGTTCAGCCTTGCCTCTTTGATGCTTTAAATTGTTTTGGATCTTATTGGCCACTGTTACTATCATTCTCGTTTCGAGATAGCGAATCTATCATATTGGTTTGAAAGCCGTATTAGATGGTTAATTGAAAACCTGCCCAAGATATGAAACTTTGGGTTAAATACCTTTTTTATTTAGAAAATTTATTTAATGAATATCACACTAACTATGGAATAAACAAGCTTAGCCATGCTATCCATCCAATAAAGGAAATATATATTTTGGAAAGGTACCTGCGTTGCCTCGTCAAGCTGCACAAAATACGTCATAATTGCATGAAACATCTTGAAAACATCATGGTTTTTATATCCCTGGTCTGCTTTTATTCCGCCTATAAATTAAAACGTTATTATACAAATACGGTCAAACACGAATACAAGTCTAGTTTAGTATAACAACTGGTACGGTTTAAGTGAGGTGGTTGTTTATCTTGCTGCACAAAAGTAGCTTCGACTAGAAAAATTCGATTGCCTTATCGTAAAAACCTGTTTAGTATTAAACAGTTGACCACGTTTGTGAGCTTAAATGATATTAAGCTTCTTACCTGGTCTTATGATGATTATTCGCCTCCCCTCATCATCAGGCACCGGAAGTGGGGTAACTATACTACAATCCAAATAACAACTTGAAAAATGATAATTGAAAAAGTCAATGTTTTTTAGACATTCATATACGCTTTAGACTCGGTTTGGTAGGATTCAAAGCAATATTTTCAGTAAAAATGATGACCCTATTCTAATGAAATGGACATTATGTTTACAGCAAGGTCGGGGGCGATTCTGTATGGCGCATACTCGAGTTAAAGTATTTAATTTCACGTGGTAACGTGCTAATAAGGAATGTGTCACCTCCATGGAATAAATCCCTAAACGGTTTGCAGCTCAAAAGTATCGAATTGCGATGGCATTTCGAAAGATAATACAAAGGTTGTTCAAAGATACGTGTAGATTAACAAGTATTTCAAGTCTAATCATATACTACGATCCCACTTACGATGTGGTTGTACGCTCTAACAATTGTCCATGCAATTTTTCTACAACGTTGGAGAAAGTACTACGTACTACGCATTGTACACTTAAAATACCTACCTACTCGATACATTCCTGAGCCTTAGGATTCTTTTTATGCCAGTGAATCTCCGAGTGTATGGGTTTATCGGCACTGGCACAACAAAACTAGATGCCATGGTAGAACTCCAAAAGAGGGTTCAGATGACTAGCACATATATGAGCGTTTTAAGATATGTCGTTTATCCCTTTGCAGGTACACCTGGACGACAAAAATGACACTCGCCGTTTTATTAAATAAGACTTACATAGTTATGTTTACAAAGGTATGTGGCATTTTTGTGAAGAATCCAAATGTGCTTTCAAAGGAATGGGCGACATTTGGGGCAAATCGACGCTCTTAAACGTGAAATAGTTCGGCTCGTCATCTGAAACTTCTTGTGGAGCTGCTCCATGGGGCTTAGTTCTAATGTGCTAAAGATTAAGATATTATGCATATAAAAAAGTTATCTAGCACATGGGTGGCATTTTTGTGTCTCTCTGTATTTCAAACGAAATCTACACGAATATACGTTTACCCTATTTCAAGTGCTGCATTTAAACCACTACTATGCAGGTCGATGTCTTTAGCCAAAAATGTCAACTTCGTACAGCATACAGCAACATAATTCTCAATGAGAGCTCTGGCTTCAAGCTGGCTGAATGCACTCCTTCTTAGGAACATCAATAAGACAAGTGTGTCTGGAAAAGGAATATGTCGTATATTAGAAGTGCTAAAAGTATTTAATCACTTGTACTGCATCTTGTACTATATCTTGATTGTCTATGACTCTTACTTGAACTTATTCTGCAAGGTACAGTTAGCAGGAAAAATAATGTAGCCCCGTGTCAATAAACTAAATGTGAGAAGAAATAATCTTGATTTAGTCATTAGAAATTCAAATTTCAGTCAAAATGATATTATATTTGAAGTCCACAAGTAAAATTGCATCTAGATATTTGAAAATATAATTTCCAGGTCGGGGATATTCCTCATACAAAGTCACAAAAAGTGATATATCGTTTCTTGTGTTTATCTAATTTTACTATACATATTTACGTTTAATCAGATACATGATGATTATATGAAAATTGACCAACTTAAACTAATAATTTACAAGTTTAAGTGAACTTTCTTATATACCCGCCATGTTAATTAACCTGGACTAGATCCACCTGGTGGTGGGTCTTGTACCTACCAATTCGCGTCTGGGTAGTTCTAAACAAGTGATCATTAGTACCCCGGACAGGTTGTATGATGCAGTCATTTTTTTACTCTATATTTGCAATAGAAAAACCATTCTTATTAAAATTTTCATATTTTATTCTGGAGACAATTTCCAACATGGGAAAAAAATATTTTAACGAAATTCCCAATTTTATGATTTTGACGTTTTTTTTTCAAAAACACTACACTGTCAATAAATTACAGGTTTTTGCTTGAACAAATGAACTTTAACGTCATTTAAAATATTGTCTGGCTATTGAATTTTCGGCCGCCTAAAGTCATATAGGAGACATTTAATGAAAGTTGGAACATGGTGAAAACAAATATGCAAAAGCATTTTTGTAAATATTGGTCCAAACATCCTGAAATTTTGTCGGAATATACCTTGTACATTTCTAAATTAAAACATATAAATACATAAATGCTGCCATCTGATTTGTTAATATTATAGTTACCATGGCAACTGGAGTCAAGGGTACCAAGGGCAATTTAATTTCGTCAAATTTCAACGAAAAATGATAAAAAGCACCTCTTTTTCAAACTGAACATTTATTGTTTGAATACTTTGTTTCCATTGTTACATATTTTCTTTCAAATTTGGTGTTTGATGTCACAGAAAAGATAAATATATAATAAAAACTGATGTGATCATAGAAAGTCTATGACACAGGTCAATGATGAAAAACAATACAGAAGAGATTTAATGAGAGCAAAGAGGAAGAAGAGGCCCGCAAGACGTTTCATATTGTAATGGGATAATGCTTCATCTCACAATGCTATTCTCACGGTACAAGCCATTGAAGCACTGGGTTTCCCAGTGTTAGGCCATGTTCTATACTCTCCTGACTTGTCCCCCTGTGATTCTACCTTCATGGGAAGACTTGAAGTCAGCTATCGTAAAGATTTGCAGCAGGCTATGGGGAAATGGGTTTAAAAAGGTGTTCAAAGACTGGAGTAGAAGACATGAACTACATATTAAAAATAAAGGACATTAGCACTGGTGGTCCACTCGAATACGCTGGTTACCAAAACGGTACGTTTTGGTAACAAAATGTCGGAACATTGAAGGTACGATTTTTCTCGTTTCCTTATTTTACCCGTTGTTGGCGGAATTCCCGAGGCATTTTTTAAACCTAAACGGTTTTTCGAAAAACAGTTAAGATCTGCACTTTCAACCCAAACCGTTTATGTAACTAAGTGAGGAAGTAAATCGACGATTCTGTTGTCTTCTGAGCTATTTTTCGCAAACATGTACATTTTCAAAAACATATGATACTGATATACGTTGTGAGAAAAAACGTTGTGGGGATTCTGCCTACAACGCGTGAAATAAGGAAAAAAGAGAAATAGTACCTTCGATGTTCCGACATTTTGTTACCGAAACGGTTCGTTTTGGTAACCAGCGTAATCGAGTTGATCACCAGTGACCATGATTAGGTAGAGTAGCTATGAAGTATAAAATGAGAATATGATATGTCATTTCAATTGTTATTTGAAATATATTATCAAAAGCGCTTCGACTGAAAATCGAATTCTTTGATAGTTGCTCCAGGTTTTGATGCCTTCTGTTGCTATGGCAACCATAACTTCCACCAATGACATCACTTTGATCTGTAACTCATCATTTCAAATAATGTTTGAACATTATTCGTTGCAAATTTTTTTTGAGGATTGGGTAAAATCTGAAGAAATTCCAGATACGTTTACCTTATTTATTGATCACCCTGTATGTTGTGACATGTTTAAATTGGGTCAGTGAGACATCTTTTGATCACGCGCTCGAAATGGCATGACGAGCATATCAAAATGAGGCAGATACGTGCGCATATACATAAGCATGGACAAGAGAATCTAAATGAAAAAGACATTTCATTCGCATATTCAGGCATTGGATTTTAAAACACTAACACAGGCAAATCAAGTTACAATAATATAGTAACACCCCAGTCACATTTGTCGCACGGCGGCCGCAAGTCGACCGCAGTTCAATTAAATCGGTGAATTTCAGCGGCGAGCGTAGAAAAACTACGCTCGCCTTGCGGCCTCCGTGCGGCGAATGCAGATTATTACAGGCCGCAGGGAGGGCGTAGAAATTATAACTCGGAGTTATAATATTTGTTCATTTCTGAGGTCCCCGTAGAAATCAACTGGCTCAACAAGATTGAATCATGATTTGTCAATGTTTCACGATCACTTTTCATTTGATATTACATCCTAGCACTATGAATAACATTTATAAATTTTTCTGATGTAAATGAAATGAAAAAAAGTATTATTTATCAACAGAAATTTAAAATTCTCCGTGCGGCTGCCGTGGGAAATGTGACTGCAAAAGTATGAGAGCGCAGAAATTCTGCGGCGAGCGTAGAAAATGAACTGGCCGCAGAAATGATAGACCGCACGGCGGCCGCAGGAAATGTGACTGGGGTGTTAACCAACCACACAGTGATGATAATTCATCATATTAGTCTACAAAACGTGCATCGTAAATGGTACATAAATATAGTTGTTATTCCTTGCCCTGTTACCATACCAATGCATTTATTTTTCTTACCAGTCGGGAATTTGAAATGGGGTTGTTCTATAATCCATTTCCGAAGTTGATCAACTATTGCCCGCCTTTCCTTTGGATTCTCGTTTAACTCCTTCTGGGCTTTCGCAATCGATTTAGCGTCGAGCGCGCACACATATTTATCTTCTGCATTTACAAACCGAGCGATTTCAGTTGATACGACCTTCTCATATGCCATTTTTAAGATGAATTTATTCTAGCAACGCTACTAAATACTTCTCGATGGTTACTCTCAATAATCACGTCATATCTAAGGCTCCAAAATTAGATATCAAAACTGAAATGTATCATGGAGCGTGTAAAAAACATCCATCATCTCATGTTCTAAACTTATTATATTCTGAATTGCACGATAACCCAATGTGATGATCCAAACTGCACGTTTACACGTTCTCATGAAAATTCTAATTTTATGATGTCCTACAAAAATGATAAAACTAGGGTAGATTTATAGTTGTTACACCCCAGTCACATCTGTCGTACAGAGGCCGTGCGTCGGCCACAGATCAATTAAATCAGTGTATTTCTGTGTAGGAAAACTACGCTCGCCTTGCGGCCTCCCTACGGCGTATCCAGTTTTTTACAGCCCGCAGGGTCGCCGTAGAAATTATAAATCGGAGTTATAATATTTGTTCATTTCTGAGGTCCCCGTAGAAATCAACTGGCTTAACAAGATTGAATCATTACTTGTCAATGTTTCACGATCAGTTTTCATTTGATATTACATCCTAGCACTATGAATAACATTTATAAATTGTCCCGATGTAATTAAAATGAAAAAAGTATTATTTATCAACAGAAATTTAAAATTCATCGTGCGGCTGCCGTGGGAAATGTGACTGCAAAAGTATGAGAGCGCAGAAATTCCACGGCGAGCGTAGAAATGTTACTGGCCGCAGAAATGATAGACCGCAAGGTCGCCGTAGGAAATGTGACTGGGGTGTAAGGTAACATGACATCATGACCGGGCAACATTCCACGTAGAAAGGTACAACGAATATTTAAGCATTTTGTACATCCCATATCAAAGTAGAAATGCAACAACTGGTGGGAATTACATTTGTTTACATCACTTGATATTACTATGTATCATCTACTTTGAAAAGTAGGCTCCTCGTTGGCGAGTATAAGAGTAGAACTCTCGTCGATGACACAAACACACTAGTGAACTACTAGTATTTGAGGACATATCACGCAGAGTCGATTATACATCTTGGAGAAGGTCATTCTCATTTTTAAAAGTCTTACTTCGCTGATTAACATTCCGTTCTCCACATAAGTAAAAAGTAGCTTTTGCATGATCAGGAGTGTATGGTGCATGGTCTTAGACCTCAAGACCTCGCTCCTCTATAGCTCCAGAAGACCGTAATGCTGATGGCTTACAGACTTAACTCATCCCTGTGCAACTCATAGCCTGGACAACTCATCCATTGCTAACTTTTTAGATTTTCATTCATTGTTTTAAAATTTCCACCAGTTATTCACAATATGCATGCCATGTGCCTTTAGCAAGTTTAGTAATATAGTGAGTTTTATATATGCCTTCAAGTTTAGTAATATAGTGAGTTTTATATATCTAGAGTTTAGTAATATTATACAAAATTTTGAAAATGTTATGATTAATAAAGGACCATGCACCTTTTTTCTTTACCGAGGGTTGTTATATTCCAGGAAATTGAATAGAAATTATCATTATGAAATCTTACTTGAATCTGAGTTGTATAGCGGCTTCATTACAACAAAGCAACTAATAAAAAAACAAGAAATGTTGTATTGTAATAGGTGGTGAATTGGATACTTGCTTCAGTAATATATTAAACATGGTAGATATCATATTTTCAAGAACAAGTTGCCCCAGGTATTATGATGTCATGTTACTATAGAAACCATAACTCTTCCCGCATTTATCATTTTTTCTGAAACTTTACACCTTTAATTATAATGCTTCGATGTGATGTAGAATTTGTGAAAATGTAAGTGGTTCGTTGCAGAATTGACAAAATGCCAGAATCAGTCCTGTTACTTTGGAAAAAATGCTTTTTTCCACAATGATCAATAATGCAAGAAGTTTAATACAATTTCTTTCCCAAATTACAATTTCAAATTGTATTATTTCCCTGAGTAATGGGTTCTTTTTCTTTCTGCATATTGTCATTTAATGATTAATGCCATTTTGATTATTTATCAAAATCCAGTAGAGAGAGAGTTTACTGTAGTCTTCAAGCACAAACTTGACCAACCATATTTTGTCAATGATTAATCAAGACACCAAATGGCCATGTATATTCTTTTTTGAACTACTAATTTCTTAAACTATCTGTTGTAGCATAACCAGGTGCTAATGTATTTTATTTTAATCTGAAGCGTCGAGTGTTTTTTGAATAGTTCATAACCTTTAAAATCATGTATTCTTTTAAAGCAAGATGTAAGCAGACTAAAGGATAAGATGGTCTCACTAGTTTTTAGGTACTTATAATATCTACATCAAAAAGAATAAATGATTGAGTGTGTACAAGGAATACGGATCAAAGATCAACACTGTTTACAAACTAATATATTTATTTATAATATGAAAAACAATACATGCATACTAGAATATAGACATAACCAAAATAAACTAGGTAAAATGGAAACATCATCGGTCCCTGCACTCATCAGATTTGTATCATATCCCAAAATATCAAGCAAAACGTATTATTATGCAATATATAATCTAAATATTGAGCCTACTAATGCATTTTATAACTTGCCTATTTGAATCATAATTTATCTAGAATATGATAGAGTAACCGTTTACAAAGAAAAAACGTCATTCCAGGTGCTAACTAACCCATACCTGCTGGTATATTAACAACACTACAATGCCCATTTTTGAAGTGATTACATAATTCCATTGTTCTTTATGAAATATTAAATCAACATACAGTATATACTCAAATAATAATTATAATAGTAGAATTACACAAATATTATATCATAGCTACATAACTACGCTGCACAAATTTCAGGAAGCTCTACTGAAAAGTGAAGATGATGAAATATAAATTGTCACACCCACCTGTAATTGTTACACAATTTATTATGAAATTAATTAACTTTTTGCACATTTCATTTTAGCTATCTATAGTTACAACAAGCATGCATTAACTTTAAAAACGGCTATTTCATGTACAGGAACAAGTCCTTCATAAGATAGTGTTAGGTAAATATTGCCACACCCCCTTTTCAAATAATTACATAATTTCAATGCCTACTTAAAAAGAGATTCAAATTGCAAAATTTTTCACTAAGCTAATATTTATGCAATTCATAAACTTGCACACTTGGATATTATTTTCTTAGGAATTATTACAAAAGCATAAGGCCAGGAAGCTCTGCTGAAAAAATTGAACATGAGTAAAGAGTAGCAAAATTGCCACATCCACCTAAAAATGTTCCGTAATATATCATATAACATGCTTACACTCTAAGATATCAGTCTATTGAGGTGAAGATACAACCTGTATATGATAAAATGTTAAGTAAAGTACCACGCCCACCTCTGAAATGATTAGATAATTTCAAAGCCATTTAATAAAAAATGTTCAACCTGCACAATTTTGCATCTTCCTAATATTTTATGTAGTGACAATAAGGTATCCAAAGATGCAAAGAAAAAACTTTCTACTACAAAACGACCCCTACTGTGTCTACCACTAGACTATCATAAGTCGTTACTTGCGATGGAGGCGAATGCCTACCCTCACACTCTGTTTCAAATATTGGCATACGATAGACCAAACAAGGTATTAACATGCTTAATGTCACCATCTGCCAATTGTTACAAATGCCAAACTCCGAACCCCATTCGTCGACCGCCAGACGCCAACACCGTCCACAAAAAAATGTCACCTATAATTGCACCAATTTTCAGCTATAGATATAATATAATATAAACGTTATAGTAGGTAATTTATCGATTTCAAGCATATATCAAAATGCAGTATCGATCAGTCTATGTTTAGTTTTCTGAAAGAAGCTTGTGGTCCGACGTCACCAGGTTTCTTCGACTCATCATACGCTATGCCCGATGATGTAATATTCCAAATCTTGTCTCGCACAGCCTTGTTGTTTAACGCTTTTTTGTAGCTTGCTGAAGTAGAAATAATAGGTGATTGATAGTTTTTATAGAACAGGCCAGGTTCTATTTTTCATCACTTGATCTAATACTTCAGACTTCGGATATGAACACTACGTTTCAGAAAGCGTTTCTAATAGTAAATACTTAATAACAATAAAAATTGCTTTTTTAAGAACATTTTTTTCTTAGTGAATTAAAAACGTTGGTACTATGGTATATTCCTCTAAATGTAAATAATTATTTAATTTCATGTATCGGAAGATCACCTTATTGAGCACATTGCTGGGTATTGGATTTATCATATTTATGACGTCAATTTATGGTAAAAAGTCAGACTCACGATTTTGGGAGTTATTCTATTCAATCCTTTCTAACTTTTTACCATATACACGAAATTCCTTTAAATTTTCTCAATTTGGTCAAAGTATCTATATATTATATCCCTGAATGTTTGGTAGGATAATAACGAAAAATAAAAAAGATATGATTGATAATGGACAGTGCACCTTTTTTCTTTACAGAGGGTATATGCAATTTGAAGAACGTAGTCTTATTTTCTTTATTTTTTTAAAAATATTTTTAATGTAATTTTTTAAATCCTGTTATATATGTCATAGTACTAAATACACACTTTACAGACTGAGTCTGCAGAACGTGGGTGCAGGGAACGTGTGCCGTGCAACTCACAAAGTAAACAGTGGTCTATTTTTAGCCAAACTGCCACAACGTCTTCCACAAATAGGCCGAACTGTTACAGTATTCAATTATGATAATTTATGCGTAAATACAAGTATTACTTTTTAAAAAGGAAAGTGTGTAAATAGTTGTGTATTTTACTTTATACGACCGACTAAAAGGTTTGTTAAAACATTCTTATATGTATATTAGGGGTCCCACGATACATTATGAAACGATACGATTCGCCTCGATACTCGATACTCAGGTCACGATACGAGCAACGATACGATACATAATAGTGTAGTTGAACGGGGGGGGGGTGCAACACTGAAGTAGCTGAGGCCTATCACTTGCTGTGACATTCGATTCAGATGCAGCATAAAGACTACTGTATAGTCTTCAAGTATCAAGCCTACCTGCTGTAGTAGTCAGCTATGCATACTTTGCAATTTTTTTTAAAAGTAAATTGGCCTAAAAAAAATTTGCGCCCAACTTTTTTTTTCTGGGCCAACCTTAGGGGGGTGGGGTGGGCATGCCCCCCCCCCGGATCCGCCATAGCAAGGGGTGTAAACATATGACAATATGGGCCCCTCGGTAAGATATATATATTTCTCATAGGATATACCCCATATCTAAAACCTCCCATAACGTACCTAATATATGGCATTTCTGAAATATTAAGAAATATCAACATCGCAAGCCTTCGCCCCTTGGTCCAATATTTCACTATGTTGCCATTTAAAATGACGTTACTGTACTGATAATACTTACTTTCATAGTTGATTCTCTCATGCTATTACCTTTTGTAAAAACATAAATTTATATCTGTAGTTGAATTCAAGCTAGACAAAAATTGAGATTTAGCGTCGCTTTAAAAAACCTGGGAAAAGTACTGAAAGAAAAAACATGCATATGTCTGCATTAGGGTAATACTAATATTTGTACTATTTCTAACCTTGAATTGTTGATAGTGATCCTTGACAATGCCCATTGTACTCATCAGGGAGATATTCTGACGGCAGCAGTCTCATTGGGATATGTTTATACACATCCTCCATGTTATTCCCATATATGAACATCTGAAAAAATATAACATATAATGGCTAAGTTCCAGTGTTGAGAATTATGAATACAATTTTGTTAAAAAATGCATCAATGTAGGCCTACACCCCCTTCTGTATTATATTGTCTCGTTTTTCTGTACAAAAAAGTAATTGAATGTGATTACGGCAAACATGTGCCTGTTTTCGCAATAACATAACATATGTTGGAATTTCGCTCTCGGTCTCTAGTAACATTAGCGAATACATTGAAGACAGTCTTTATAAGGGCTGTAGAAAGTATTATTTACTGCTAGTCCTCGAATCGGGAGTCGGTGGTATGCGACCTTTAACCCTGTCGAATCTTTATAACACTTTCGACACCCAATTAATGACCTATGATGCTAGCGTTATCCCTTATTCATCAAAATATATCAATAAACTCGAAACGGCGCAGAGAAAAATTGGCAGGAAAATACAATCCTTTCCCGAATGGGCGGAATGCCTCGTAGCCTACGAGCCACTTGGGTGGGAAGGTATAAAATACCAGATTGATACAGCAAAACTAATGTTCATATGGATGTTACTGAGTTTGCCTTGCAACACTATATACAAAAGACTGTTGATTTTACGAATGACACTAATGGATTTGACTTTAAAGGAATTAAAATGACATCCCCCATCGCACACATGTGGTTCACGGCCAGGAAATACGATAGCTGGTATGTTATGTGTCAAAGGATGCCACGATTGAAAAAAACAATTTACAACTGTTTTGAAGTTAATAACTGGTCAAATAGGTCTAAACTGTCACAAAAAGTGGGATATCTCAAAAGAAAATGGTCGATTGTACAATGTCTGCAACTTAAATGAAATTGAATCGATCGAACTCTTCCTTTGCCAATGCGAGTTGTATGTTCAAGAAAGGTTAGCACTAAACGAAATCTATAATTCTAAGGGCTGAAGAAAGTATTATGCACTACTAGTCCTCGGATCGGGAGTCGGTGGTATGCGACATTTAACCCTGTCGAAGCTTTATAACACTTTCGCCACCCCATTAATAACCTACGAAGTTAATGACTGGTCAAATAGGTCTAAACTGTCACAAAAAGTGTGATATCTCAAAAGAAAATCGTAGATTTTGCAATGTCTGCAACTTAAATGAAATTGAATCAATCGAACACTTTCAGTCAGCCAAATGGCCAACGATGACACATGAATAATAGTGAATGAAATTAAAGCCAAATATGAAAACGTAGTGGACAACCCTCATATACATTCAATATATAAGGAAAATGTAGACTATGATTTACCCTGTCCTGAATTTTTTGTGGTAAAAACGGTTTTAATGCACTCATCACCGTCTGGGCCACTACTGCAGCATTGTAAAAGTGCCAACCTTTCATCCTAATTGGGTACTTGTTCTTAAACAACACACGTACATATATGTTATTTTTGACAAAATCTGTCTACATCAAAACGTAATATTTGCAAAGCATGAAGCCAGTAAGAAGATTGAACTAATATGTAAGCAATAAGCTGGGAAACAATAAACAATACTACTATTTTAACAATATAGCCGAAAAGCAACTTTCTTGTAGATATGTAAGCCTATCTTCAATTGTCCATATTTATCTGCTGTCCTAAGAAGCAGTTTACATCATTAGAGCTTTTTGACTGTGTAACTTGTCATTCCTGTTTGAATTTAAATTTCATTTTGCATACAGTATATTGTTTTGATATTTCCCTTTAGCAGTTTTTGCTCACATATTCCTCATATTGAACAACCTTACTCATTTGTAACTGGATCACTATGAAAATCCATGTCATCTAGTTATAATTAAGAGCAAATTATACTATTGTATTAAAACAACTGATGTGCGTGTATAATCTTGGCATTTTACATAGTGCAAGGTGTTTCAAATGTGACAAAATCGCTCTACTATCAACGAAAAGGCAGCATCAGTCATGTTATATGTGGTACACCTTATATATTTCACCTTAGTTTTTACGCACCAGAAAAAAAGAAAGTATTTTTACAATATTATCCAATCCCAGAAAAGCAGTCATTTTCGGTGACACATTGGTTTGGTCGTCTAGCACAACTATACCATTCACCTAAAATAAGGTAATATGCCTATATAAATATATAATAATTGATAATGTCCATAAATAGTATGTACAGGGTGGGCCAAAAAAACGCCACTTTTTTCAAAATGCTGTAACCTTTTTAATTTTTGATACAAAATCATAATTTGCATACCAAATGAAACTTGAGGTTGTTATCTAGCCATGGATCATGAATTATACACTTTTACTTGAATAAAATATGTCACCAGCGTCTCACTTAAACATTTGGTGTGCCATGAGAAATAAGCATAATTTGCAAAATGTTCCTGAACTGATACGCCCTGATGACCGCCAAGCTAATAGCCCTAATGCAAACCCCAGTGAGTATAGGGTATGGGAAGGTCTCCAGGAGATGGTATGAAGGCACCCAATCTAAAAAATTGCTCAACTAAAGCTGGCAATTAAGACAAATTGAAAAAAAATATAGCTAACATTTCATTGATACTGCCATATCAGCAAGGCGACCAAAACTAAAATCTATCATCAAATAGAGTGGCGGACCAATTGAACTCCTCTTTTAGATCAAATATAATAAAGGAGTATAAACTCCAGTTGAAGGACTTGTTACATTATATTATTACTAAGAACCCTTGGCACTTTATAACTGCAAAATTTGGGGTATGTAGGTTGGAAAATAAAAAAGTCATAGTGTCTTGAAAAAAAGTGGCGTTTTTTGGCCCACCCTGTATATACAAAATGACACTATTCAAAATTATTTAAGAAAATATAGACCGAAGAGCAGGGGTAATATCGTCGAATACACCCTGCAGGGCTCGGCACAAATGTTTTCTGTACCCCGAACGACCGAAGGGAGTGAGGGGTTTGAAAGCTTGTGTGCCTAGTCCTAAGGGGTGTATTCGACGATATTACACCTGCTCTGAGGTCTATATTACGATTCGAACATGAAAACTCACCAAAATGTTACGAATATTCATTATGGTCCGCCATTACTACGGCCCGCCGTTATGACGTCACACATTACTCGTATTACCAGGGGTATTGCTCGCGAATATACCCCGGGTGAAATGTTGACTTTGTTCACAGTTTATGGAAGGCGCGAATGCAGTCATGTTTGAATAATATAATAGTCCATGGTATGAAATCTCTGTGACGTCTAATAAAGGAACTGGCAGCACACTATAGCGCAGCGATATTTGACGTAATATTAACATACCTAAAAGCCCCCGTTTTACAGTTTGGAGTACACAATACAACAGAAATAATACAAAATGACTTTAAATATATGATTTAGGTTTCTCAATTAGATACATGAGGTTATTTCCTCATAAATACAGAAATATTATGTAATCAGTGCATAGTCAATTTGTATTGTTTCTGAGATATAGATATCGATGAAATGAATGACATTTATATTAGAATGACAAATGCCAAAAGTATATTCGTTTTTCACAAAATGAGTCTTATTGCGACTACTGAATTACTAAATTATTTTGCCCATAGTTCATATTACGGTGTTTAAACTGCTTCTTTATTCGGTACATTAAATGTTCGATATGTACCAAATAAAACAAACAATTTACCAAACCTTTACCCAATCTATCGAATGTCGTTCATCTTATCGAATATAATAATCTATACAATATATATTCGCAGAACAGTTTCACTTGTTCATTGTGTTGTTATTTACATTTGATATTTAAACAAGTATTTGTGTGATGCGGTGATTCAATTTGTTTTCCCTGTTGCACATGTAGTTCAATTGATCATATTTAAACATTCGGCATTCGATACTTCATGAGACTTTCAGTCACGTGTTATATGAAAACGATGTTGAATAGCTGCGCGGCCATTTTGAAAAACTCGAGGTCACGTGACAAAATATCGAACAACAACGGAAGTTTTCGAATATTGCTTTAATGCATTCGGTTAATAGCAAATGAGCTTTCGATAAATGCATTGACTATGTTATTGAAAAATAAATCATTTGGTAAAAATAGAAAAACTTATTTCGGTAATGGTTAAAATAGAAATTTGATATTTCGCATATATGTGTTACTCTTAAGGAATGTAATAACAGTCTACGCAAAAAAATACATCATTTAGTAAATAAAATATGTAATTTAATGTACATAGTATTAAGTGATTTAATATATTGGCTATTTTGAAAACTTAATTCGCTGTAACAAATATATAATGTCTTTACCGAATGGAAAATTGATTTAACGAATATAAATATTCCATGTGTCGGATATATTAGGATTTAGCGAATAAAAAAGCAAAAATAATGCCATAATAGTTAGATATTGCTTAGTTGTTTATAAAACAACCACCAAGACTTGGTCGAATAAATCTTCCCTATTTGTTATTGTCTTGTGTTTGACCCCAGGGATGATATGGATAACTTTTGGTAATACAATGTTTTAAATGATAAGAAAACTAATAAGTACGCAATAATAAATTACCTAGATATTTTTCTACGTGAAAGCCGGGCGTTTTTTCCAGCAAATAGTGTTTAAATAAAATCAAGACATATGTACCTCCTTAAATATTGGATCAAATGTTGCTGCGCTATAGTAGTAATTAAAGTAATCCTAAATATGCACAGTTCTATCTGATTCATTAAAAACAAAATCATTCAAATTCAGGTTCAAAATTTGACAACCCTTCGATGATTCGAACAAATGATTATGTAACACGTGATATTAAATGATGAAAACCTAAGGAGTATTAGATTTGGCAATGGATGAAATTAGTGTACCTGCGTTGCATCGTCAAACTGTACCAAATATGTCATTATAGCATTAGACATCTTAAATAGGTCAGAGTTAGTAAATCCCATACCGCTTGTTATGCTTCCTATATCAATATAAATGAAACAGATTCACGGATTCAGACAGATTGAACCAACACCTTTTGGTAAATCATGAAATTATTAGTCACTATTCCAAGATCTTAACACGTGTCTATGGCAGTCTGGCCCAAATAAAAACCTGAATATTGTGTTCGGTCTTGTCCTCTGTGAGAGTCTTCTGCCTTATCGTATGATTGAAGAACATGTGTCCTTCTCTCACAGACTAAAGAGACATTGTTCATTGAAAATACATATAGTATAAAGTCCCGGTATAAAGTAAGAGATAAAGCAGTAAGAATAGATTGAACCTTTTTGTTACTTATATTCAGATGTTTAGTTATTATTCTGACGTATAAGGATAGGGAATATTACTGGTTAAAATCATGCGTTATCATGAAGGTAAAATGGAATAAAAACATTGCTCAGTTATGTCTAGCTAGTGCTGACAAGACACACCCGTTTAGCCCCTCTCCCCCAGAAGATCCATGGGCAATTTTCAAACTTATTTAGATACCCACCTGCTCTAACGATGATGATGCGTCTTCCTTCATCGTCAGGAATAGGAAGCGGATTGAACATACTAAAATTCAGATAACAAGTATTTGGTCAATATTTTGAAAAGTGGGTGTTCGCTTATAAGGGGATGGGCACATAATATGGTTACGATATGTTCATTCTCACTGATTTGTTTCAGCACATACATGTATTTTAAATGTAGAAACTATCTCAACTGAAAGGACGCTAGTTTTAAAATGTACGTCGTTTTAGCTCCAAAACTATGATCGATTATGATGAATAAATTAGTTTACCCGAATTCAAACACTGCTTTCAAACTTTCACGATGAATGTCGATGTCTTTTCCCCAGAATGCCAACTTGGTGCAGGTTACAGCAACATAATTCTCAATGAGAGCTCTGGCTTCTAGCTGACTGAATGCACTTCTTCTAAGGAACATCAATAGGAAACGTGTATCTGGAATTTGGGTATTTTGGAAATATTAGTCAAACAAAGAGAATCATGTCTGCCTACTTTTTGAGTCAATTAGCAATAACCCGTGAACCATCGGATACATTTCCGTGCCTCGTGGTTAAAAAAGCCTTATTTGATGATTTGGGGAAACTCACCAAATATCAGCAAATATGAAATTCCAAAGCTTTCTGTAGGAAGAAATTCTTTATCTGTGGGCCAAAAAAAACCAATACCCAACTTTAAATCAGAATGAAAATAGCTATGTTCAATATGATACATTGATTTATATATCATTTTAAAGGTAATTCATTTTCGAACAATTTGGTATATAACACTATGTCATGAAATCAATATTAAAGTTGTATTATGCTTATTGGGGAGGCCGCGTCGGTATTTAAGGTATCCAGATTTTAGGGAGAAAATGGTAAATCTGCGGAGTAATGTTAATTTTAGTGTTGTTTATTATCAATAAGTACTCAAAGGGGGTCTGTTTAAAGACATTAAATGTATATATGTGACGAGGATTTTATTTTCCAACAAGACATTGCCTCGTACCATAGATCTCAAGAGACATTGGCATTCCTTTGCAAACAAGGTGTCAATTTGATTGATCTTGATGCTTGGCCACCCAACAGCCCCGATGCTAATGTGTTTCATTACTATACATGGAGTCATTTCGAGGAAATACCAACTGTTCTAGATGTCCCCAGGTATGGTAATCAACATTATTGGCATCTAGACTGTCAGTACGCAATTTGTCCGTGCTAGAGATGGTGTCATTTCGAATCTCCAAAACTCCAGGGTAGCATTGGACCTGTGTGATGAAGCACTTTCCTATCAGAAAATGAAATTTCTTTCACATGTTTTTTATATCCTTGAGGAGTTCTTTTTTAACACCTCATGTCATTAACATTCAGAGTATATTTTTGCTCCTGGTTCAACAAAAACAGGGCCTGTATGGTCTTTCCTTTTTGGGAAACACCGAGTGGACACCACTACCCTTTCAGAAAAATAATAATGGCTAGTGGGGTGTTTTTGGCCCACCCTGTAGAAAGGTAAGAGCATTTTCTTGAGACGTATGGCCAAAATCTCAAATTTCTCCTTCTAAGTCTTTGAAAGACACTTTAAGATGCATTGTTACTTAACAAGAAATGACAAAACAGGAAGTTACAAAAATGTGTCATTTTTAGACATTTTTGAACAAAGATGACAGAGTTCTATAATTCTATAATAGAGTTTAAATAGTTTCACATTTCATTTACAAGACCAGGATCACAATGTCCATGGTCAGAATGACCCTAAACATGATGAAATAACTTTTTCAGCCTGCTGAAAATGTGACTAAATAATAGCTAAAAGCAGCCCCTCAGGAAAGGTCACTGAACAGAATCTTTTGAATTTTTCAGAAAATGTACCCAATATATTGCTCTTACTGATACAATTTTCGAAAATTGTCTGAACTAAAAATGGCGGTCATAAAAAGGAAAATAGATCGCCTTTCAATTCAGTTTTTTCATTTATTTTCTTTTTCTACGAATGATGTCACATTTTCAAAGATTGTATTATTTAGAGCAATATACAGGGTGTTCCATATGTTTCAGGAATGATGCTGTATTTTAGTTGTTTTCTTTTCAATCTAGCTGAATTTTTGACAAAATGTACACAAGTTAGTTGTGAATGAATTGAGAAAGTTTTATATCATGAAGGTCAATAGACCTGATAATATGGTTGCTATAGTAACCCAGGGATAGGGTAGGTGGAGCAGGTGTAACAACCGGCAAAATATATGTCATATTTGTAAAAATAGTCATTTTTGTATGAAGTGTGGGTAAGTCTTAGGTTGTCATAGTTGCATCAAAGTCAGAAATTAAGCAAAAATGAAAGTGAATTGCTGGAAATTAAAAAGAATTGTCATCATTGATGATATATCACAATTGAAAAACCTGTCATGTCATGGGTACCAAAGGAGAATAATCACAGGTCATTTTGACTGAGTGGCCATCTTGAAAAGTGAAAATGTCATCAGTAAAATATGAATTTCAACTAAGGTAATGTACAACAGTCCAAGACTGTGTAAAATAGGTTTTCTGCAGCAGTTAAAATTAAATACCTTGGGAGTATATATGGGGACTTAATGACAACAACCTCAAGAGTATATGAGCGGTACAAGGGATTCAAATCAAGGGAATCTGAGACAGATAATCCAAAACATCTGATATGGCTGCACGTTCAGCCAAAATGACCAGTGATCATTCTCATTTGTGACTCATGTCATGTCATGCCATGGGTGTCAATTGTGATACCATCAATAATGACAATTATTTTAATTTCAAAGAATTCACCTTAATTTTTGCTTTAATTTTTGACAATTTTGATGAAACTTTGACAACCTAATACTTTCTAACACTTCATACAAAAAATGACCTGTTAATTTAAAAATATTTCATATTTTGCGCGTTGCCACATCTGCTCCACCTACCTTACCCCTGGGTTACTATAGCAACTGTATCATTAAATCTATTGAGCTTCATGATATGAAACTTTCCCAACTTAAACACAACATATTTGGACACATTTTTTTAAAATTCAGCTCGATTGAAAAGACAACCACTAAAATACAGTATCATTCCTGAAACATATGGAACACCCTGTATGGGGCACATTTTCAGAAAAATTCAAAAGATTCTGTTCAGTGACCTATCCTAAGTCCCTACTTTTAGCTATTTTCCAGTTACATTTTCAGAGGGCTGAAAGTGTTATTTTATCATGTTAAGGGTCATTCTGACCATGTACACAGTGATCCTTGTCCTGTAAATGATAGGTGGAACTATTTGAATTGACTGGAGGTCAAAACAGAACTCTGTTATCTTTGTTCAAAAAATATTTTAGAAAAACACATGTTTTGTCCCTTCCTGTTTTTTCATTTCCTGTTAAGTACCACTGTACCTTAATACATAAAGTGAGTGAATATTGACAGGTTTCGACGCCATCGGTGTAACGTTTAGTATTTTAAATGCTACTGAAGATCACAAGTTACTTTATCGTATGATCTGTAAAATAAAGCCCTCTGATTGGTCAGTTCTTGTGCTGTACCAATCTGTATCGCTATTGAGGTTATCCCCGTTGATCAACTCCGTCGCAATACAGAAAATATTGGTACGGATGGGACAATATCAGTAGCAATACAGAGGACCACACGATAAAAACGTTATTGAATGATTTGAAGTGCAATACAGGATATATTCTGTCTCGATATTCTGTATTTGCACTCGACTTCGTCTCGTTCCAATACAAAATTTTCGAACGGAATATATCCTGTATTGCACTTCAAATCATTCAATAACCTAAATTATCGTATGGTCTGTAAAATGAAGCCCTCTGATTGGTCACTTCTTGTGCTGTGCCAATCTGTATTGCTACTGAGGTTGTCCCCGTTGATCATCTCAGTCGCAATACAGAAAATATTGTTACGGAGGGGACAATCTCAGTAGCAATAAAGAGGATCATACCATAAAAAAGTTCGTCTCGTTCCAATACAAAATTTCTCGAACAGAATGTATCCTGTATTGCACTTCAAATCATTCAATAACTTAGTACTTTACCCGTGCAGCATTTGAAATGGGGCTGCTGTAGAATCCATTCTCTAAGTTGCTCCACGGCCGCCTGTCTTTCATTTGGATTTTCGTTCAGTTCCTTTTTTGCTTTAGCGAGAGATTTTTCGTCAAGAGAACATACATATTTTGCTTCTGCTAATAAATATTCCACTGCGCGCGATACTACTTCATCTGAGGACATACTGGTTGTTTGTTAAACAATCACGTTATATACGTACACGCTATCAGTGAAAGGCCCTATAATAAGTAAAGGGCCCTGTTTTTAACTTAAAGACAAATCGGTCAGAGCAACTCACTGAACATCATATAAAACTCATCAAAGGCAACATAACCTATTTACATTCTGAAATCGAATAGTATTCTTTGTACCGTTAAAATAATTGCTCAAATACGCTTTCAAAAACAAAATGAATATCGTAAACAAAATCATGAATCGACACAAATGAAGAATTGTGTAGTTTTCCGTGCGACCCCCATTTTACACTTATTTATCAAAATTTCTTGAAGAAGATTATTAACATGTAAACATTTCTCAAGTTGAAGTTGAATTCCCATTATAGAAAAATATGACAAAGTAGAATATAGAGTAATATTAAACTTTCCAATTGTGTGAGGACACAACTTAGAAGAAATTTACCAAGTTGAGACATGAAGATGGTCAGGTTCATTAGATGTGTAAGTAATAAAAATAAAAAGTAATGTTCATTATATATCAATGCCTTACTAATATAGCTTACAAGACCATGTTTAATGGGAGAGCAAGTCACCGTGTAAAGACATGTTAGTGTAATGTCTTATGTACCCACCAGAGAAAAATAATTAAAATCGGTACATTGAATTTTTTCTTGTCATTTTTAGCCAAAATCACTGAACCGTGAACATGAAAATTTGGCAAATTTGGCCTACTTAGGCAACATTTTACTAAAATTATCATTTTTGATGTTTTATTCCATTCAACAACCTCCTGATTTGAAAAATGATGGCAAATTTGACCAGATTTGACTCTGGCCTAGAGAATTGGGACTTTTGAGATAGTTTTAGCTCGAATTTGGTCATTCAGAGTGGACAAATACATCAAAAATTGACACTTTACTGACCAATCTCTGACTGTACCCCTGATATGTACCTTCATTTTTTACTAGAAACCATAATAGATGGAAAATTCAATCTTTATTATAAACAGCAACTCACTGGCTTCCCCATTTACGACAACATATGACATCTTGGGGTCATTAAGGACGAAATTGTAGCCAAATATCGTCAAAATCAGTGGTTTTGGGGGTAAAAAGCGAAAATTGCTGATTCAGGAAAAACTTTAAATTTGTTCATGAAAATTTCCCTTTTTGCCTCCGTCCAGAATATGTTTTATACTAATAAACTTGAATTCTGGGCGATCTGAGTAGTTTTAAAAATTTTTGGTCACTCTCACATGTGACTTATAGGCCAAACTGCCCTAATTCACGCCACCATACTAGTCAATGGGCAAAAGGGCAAACGCCTGACTTTTTATCTCGAGTTATTGATTAATGTAGCCTCACTGGCCTATCTGAGGTTCTAAAGCTATGCCTAACAACCCAGTCACATTTCCTACGGCGACCTTGCGGTCTATCATTTCTGCGGCCAGTTGCTTTTCTACGCTCGCCGCAGAATTTCTGTGCCCTCATACTTTTGCAGTCACATTTCCCACGGCAGCCGCACGGTGGATTTTAAATTTCTGTTGATAAATGATACTTTTTTCATTTTATTTATATCGGGACAATTTATAAATGTTATTCATAGTGCTAGGATGTAATATCAAATGAAAAGTGATCGTGAAACATTGACAAATAATGATTCAATCTTGTTGAGCCAGTTGATTTCTACGGGGACCTCAGAAATGAACAAATATTATAACTCCGAGTTATAATTTCTACGGCGATCCTGCGGCCTGTAAAAAACTCGCCGCAGAAATTCACCGATTTAATTGATCTGCGGTCGACTTGCGGCCGCCGTGCGACAAATGTGACTGGGGTGTAAGCTACATTTTGACACTAAACTCAATAGGGGCCAAACATCTACTTTTTGAAATAATTGGTCAATTGTGACACTACCCCCTCTCTCTGCCGACAGAAATTGAAATTCACAATAATGAAGGAAAAAATTAATACGCCACTTGATTCGACATTTTCCTTCAGATAACCCAAGTAAACGCATTTTCAGAAGAAATGGCATGTTGTCATTGCAAAAAGATGACAACTGTGTCTACATACTAGCTTACTGACTCGTCATGATCACAATTGTGTTACATTCATTTTTGAAAACTACTTTTTTCTACGTATTAGGGCATTTTGGCCGATGAGCTCCTAGTTGGTGGCCGAATCACTCAAAATTAAGCAGTGTATAAATGCGCTGTTTTTCTGCAGTGAAAACGAAATGAATTTCAAGCTGCCCATGTCAACTTGTTCCATCAACTAACACCCCAGTCACATTTCCTACGGCGACCTTGCGGTCTATCATTTCTGCGGCCAGTAGCTTTTCTACGCTCGCCGCAGAATTTCTGCGCTCTCATACTTTACACCCCAGTCACATTTGTCGCACGGCGGCCGCAGGTCGACCGCAGAACAATTAAATCGGTGAATTTCTGCGGCGAGCGTAGAAAAACTACGCTCGCCTTGCGGCCTCCGTGCGGCGAATGCAGATTTCTACAGGCCGCAGGGAAGGCGTAGAAATTATAACTCGGAGTTATAATTTTTGTTCATTTCTGAGGTCGCCGTAGAAATCAACAGCCCGTAGCCAGACCGCAGAAAGGTCGCACGGTGGCCGCACGTCGGGCTTGCGGTTGACTTGCGTCTGTCGTAGGGTTTTGATTATGTAATTTAGGAAACACGTTTTTAGGTCAGGTTTTCTATCATATCTTTGCTGTGAACACAAGGCAATACTGTTACATGGCGCTTGTTGTACCTCAAAGACTCAGGTTGGGTTATCTGAGAATGCAGCTGAGGCGAGTGCAACGTGATCGGGATTACCTTATAGCTGCTCTCTAGATGCTGAAAGGGTAGCTCTACTAGCCCTTTTTAAAATGGGAAAAGATAATGTACTCCAGATTTTGATGATTTCAATATGATTTTAACGGCCAAGGTTATGTTATGTATAAAAACGCAACCTGTTGATGTAAATATGCTTTTAAAAAAATATTGAAAATTGTAACGTACTCACATAGAAATAATGTGGTAATGAAGGATACAATACAATACACATTACATTTAATCTGAAAGATGTCTGAGCCAAGAGCATTCCAATTTAAGATAATTTGATTTGTTCATTTTGATTTGTTTTGAATTTTTTACTGTAGATATTCTGCTTTCATTCTGCTGACCATTCCATTTAATATCTGTTGCCAACTCGGCCAACTTTGCCTCCTTTAGTTTGTTATTGCGATAGTTCTCATGCCGGAGATCAAATAGATATGGATGTCCCTCATAGAATTCTACTATTTTCTGGGTGACAGAGAAATCATCTTCATCACCCGAATCATCAAGGATGGCATTCTTTTTGTTCCTTTCTTTTGATATGTCGTCGCATGAGAATAACTTTGTACTATCTCACATTTTTACGGAACTGAGAAATCAAGGTTTGAAAGTTTAGAGGTCTGTATCTTACTTAGTATTGCTATGTGAAACTTGATTTTTTGTATGTCACCTGGTCTCATCCTAGAGATATCTTATATGAAATATCATACCTTGAAACAATTTACAAGATCCTTTTTTAAAACTATGGAAATGGAGTTGATACAATTTCCCACCGGAATAACAGCTTATTTCTAATTTCAAATTGTCATATCTGATATCAACTGTTTCAACCAATCAACTCTTTAAGAATTGGTCATGTGACTTGCAAAACTTGGAGTTATAACAATCCTATATTAAAACAAAGTATGCCAATATGCATGTTATTGTGTCTAAAATGAAAAATAATGTTTTGCTTTGTAAAAAAATCTTCAAAAACCAAAGAATATTATTTAATAAAATAAAGAAAATTCAATTTATAAAACTTTAAAATCAATTTCTCAAATAAGTACAATTATTTCTTAATTTTGGAATCTCAGGACACCCTTCAAAAAGAATTTATTGCCTTTGAAACTAAGGCAGAAGTACAATGCATTGAAACCAATGATGCCATTACAGTCCCCCACATATTTCCCTCGGTATAAACCCTGTAGCCTAAACCTCCCAGCACATTACAATGTAGCCCCTAAGGGCCGGTCCGCTGGTCATTATCAGGTTATTTTTGATACAGACCAGTTGATTTTTTCACTGGGTATAGGAGAATAACATTACAACTGGTCCGTAATTCCATTTTGACCAGCAGGTTTCAGATCCTTAGGGCCTAAGACATAACCAATTTTTATTACATGCACATGGAAGAAATTTGAAAATAGAAAAATAATTTCTAATTCATTTTAGATTAATGAAAGTGATGAAACCTCGATTTAGGTAATCACATTTTGTTCATTGGGATGCAGCTATCATTATCTATTCATTTTCTGTTGTTTGCTACTCTGTGGAGTACAATTGGGAATTGAAGCAATTGTAGAAGTGGAGACTAAGAGTGGCTCTTTGTAAAGAAATTGAACCAATTTGTTACTTTTCCAAAAGAAAGGACAAATCTGAAAAACATACTAGTAATAAAATAACTAAAAAGATCCCAGATGTTCAGTGAAAAGCGCAAAGTAAATCATAGATGAAGATAAAATAAGTGTTTGAAAGGGACTATACTAACATAATGATAACTCCTTATTGATATAGTGTATGGTCAGTAAAAGTTAAAACTAGTTTAAATAGATTTAGCTTTTTTCCACAAACTATAAAACATCATTTTGAAAGAGATTTCAATAGTAGTGATTGCCTTTGAGCAATGTAGTGCAAAATATGACAGTTACTATTTGTTTTGATTACTATATCTAGTATATAACCTATTATTATGTACTCTATTTGAAGAAACAAATAAGTAGTGTTTCATTTTCAACATTTAATGATGACAGCTTCGTATATGCATTTCTGTTGCATCTGGCCATTCAAACCCCTATAAGACCTGGTAGCAGGGAAGATAAAGGGTACTTTTGACTGCTCACATGATCACTCTACTATACCTTGCATTTGGTGTTCATGAGCAACCCATTTGGCTTATTAGTAATGATTATGTATTTGTTTTTATTTATCTGTTCCTTATTAATGGTTTATCGGTTGAATGTTAGATGTTACTAAGGCACTTTCAACAATATACTAAACAAAACAATTAGACAAACAAAGTATCTTATGCATTTCTAGGTGTTAGGTATAGTAGAGTGATGATCTAATTAACTGGTCATTTGTACTTTTCATCTTCCCTGGTAGAGAGGATTTAGGTTTTCGAGGAAATTAGTAATTCTATTTCATATCATGTGGCCATGAATAATCCAATGAGCATCCATAAAACAAAGAGTAATTGAGGGCATATAATTTGAATATGCGGCAAGGCATTCAAACTGGCATGGTATTGTGTTACAAAACATTATTTCATTCTAGATACAATAACATGCATATTGGCATACTTCGTTTCAATATAAGATTGTTATAACTCCAAGTTTTGCAAGTCACATGACCAATTCTTAGAAAGTTGATTGGTAGAAACAGTTGATATCAGATATTACAATTTTAAATTAGAAATAAGCTGTTTGTCTGGAGATGGTACAATTTCACACTGAATTCTAGCTTAATGAGAGGGAATTGAGATGGGGCATGTATCTGAGATGAAAGCCTGTATTTCAAATAGTAAAATTCCATGTCTATCTCATTTTTTTTGAAAATGGCAGTTAGTACAAAGTTATTCTCACGCGACGATGTGTTGCCTCTTCTTTGGAGGCGTGGTGAGTGAAATGAAATGGCATTTACTACAGTTGTCATAATATGGGGCCACATTTAAGATTAAGATTAACTATATTACTATTGGTCCATATTTCACTCAACACTTTTTATTTCATATAAGATCCTACATGTAGACTTATAAATAACATTTATAAATTGTACTCACAATATATGATGTAAATGAAATCAAAATGAGTATCAATGTTTCTATTAAAAGTACGTACGGCTGTTGTAGAGGCCAAAAGGCAGAATGGTCAACGTATACGTTTGCCGCAGAGACACATTGCATATGCCCTTGTATCTGCAAAAAACTACGCTCTCCGCAGGGAGACCGTACGGTGACCTTGCGTCACCATTTATGTCGTGGAAAATGTGACTGCAAAAGTATGAGAGCGTAGAAATTCTGCGGCGAGCGTAGAAAAGCAACTGGCCGCAGAAATGATAGACCGCACGGCGGCCGCAGGAAATGTGACTGGGGTGTTAGCAGTCACATTTCCCACGGCAGTCGCACGGTGAATTTTAAATTTATATTGATTAATAATAGTTTTTTCATTTTATTTACATCAGGACAATTTATAAATGTTATTCAAAGTGCTAGGATGTAATATCAAATGAAAAGTGATCGTGAAACATTGACAAATAATGATTCAATCTTGTTGAGCCAGTTGATTTCTACGGGGACCTCAGAAATGAACAAATATTATAACTCCGAGTTATAATTTCTACGCCTTCCCTGCGGCCTGTAAAAATCTGCATACGCCGTACGGAGGCCGCAAGGCGAGCGTAGTTTTTCTACGCTCGCCGCAGAAATTCACCGATTTAATTGTTCTGCGGTCGACTTGCGGCCGCCGTGCGACAAATGTGACTGGGGTGTTACTGTTCTAAATGACCCACCAGGCCCATCAAAGCCCAAAGACAATGTATGAAGAGACATCTATTCATGTATATAGCATTTATTTTATAGAACTATAAATAATTGCCATGAATGCGGACTAATTTTGGTGTACATTTGTCTTGAATTGATGTGCAACATCGGTATTCTGTTTCTCCAGAAACGTTAAAACTATTGAACTGCACACACTCAACACCCGAAGGATATAACAATGTAATAAGCGAATGAAGCAGTTTTCCCTAACCCTATAAGTTAACTACATCAAAATCATAAACAACAAATTCATGTTGACTTAAATTGCTATACAAAAGTATAGATATCATAAAAAGCAGTATATATAATATATATTATATATAGTGTACATAAAAGCAAAAGGCGACCAAAAAATCACATTCCATTTTACACGTATGTACGTATATTATTGCTGTCGTTCCACATCTTAATTCAAGCGAGATTATGATTGACGTAATTGAAGTTTTGGATTGCTCCGGCTTAGATAAAAATGATGAGGGTGTCTATATGATTAATCAAAATGACGAAGAAATGCAGTACTTGGAGATTCTATGTCGTGTTTGTTTTTAGATAGGTGCACCTTTTTCTTTTTGTTATGTCTTGCTTTGCTTACAATCGAGTATATCTCTTGCACAAGGGGGACAATGATAATGAATGCGGCGGCGATAAAGGCATAAGTGAGGGTGAGATTGATCCAATGACGGAACTGGTCCTGGTTCATGACTTTGATGGGAAGCATGACAGCAGGCCAAATGATAAAGAATCCTATACTGAGCCCTATAGCAGACACAGTTACAATGATGAACGGCTTTTTGTATTGTTTCCTCAGTTCCTTTTGGGTTGGACGCTCATATACACCAGTTTCTCCTTTGGGTTTTCCAAACTCGTGAGCATAAGTCATCGCCCATGGGTGCAGTGGGTTTTCGATGTTTTGCAATTTTCCCCAAACTTGTTCCTCATTATGTAACTCTCTATTCAGTGTGCAAATTGAAACAACGATACATACAAGTCCTCCCATTAACATTGATACACCGCTACCAACAAGCGTTGGTATTGGCCTTCCAGTGTTCTTTAGAAAATCGGCCAAGCCTCCCTCATAGGTAGACGATATTATTAGCCACACAGAAATGCCACAAACACAACCACATACCACACCTGGACAATAAAAACAATGTATCGTGTTGGAAGGTTCAAATTACAGTCCCATATATGAGCCTGGCCATGGGAAACCGGTCTTATCACAAAAAATAAAATTGCGCTACAGAGCCAAAAATGTGCTCAGGATTAAAAGGAAAATGTGCTAAATTCAAATCCGTCTTTTGGTCTATATCTGCAAGACAAAATTGTTAAGACATAAGCCATGGCTCATTTGAAAGGTCTCTTGTGCTTTTTAAGATAAACAAAAAATCTAAATATTGAAAAATATGTGATAAGACCCCTTTTCCTGTGGCCTGGCTCATATATTAATAGATTAGGGCAATTTTACGATATTTTCAAAATCAGTTGTTCTACTAAAGCCTGCGTCGTGTGTGTTGATACCAACTGCATTAAATGTGTGCTATTTAATGTCATCACAACTGATTATTATAATCATGCGATGTTTACTGAAAATATTGCTTATCATTTCTCATTAAATGATGATTTTTTTGTCAAAAAAACAAAGTTTTGTTTTGTTTGTGGTAATACAAACCCGGTTTACAACACATACAGAGCATCGATTGCGTTGATATTTTTCAAACTATATAAACAATATGTTTGACATCAGCTCTTAAAAGGGCGATGTTAGATGTATGTTGGTCATGCAATGAAATACTTTTTCTATGCATATACCATTTGTCTAATTTTGTGTATCCTCCAACAGACTGGTTAAATTAACATTACTGATGCATCATTTGTTTAAGATTTCGCCGGAAAGTGCCCTTAAAGGTTACCTCTTAAATGACAGACAATAAACATTAGACAAAACATTGTTATTTTTGTGGTGGGTTTCGGTTTTGCTGTCCAATATTGTGTATCCTTCAAACATTAAATGTTCATCAATGAAAATAAATGATTTCAAACAATTATTTTCAGAAATGAGACTAAACTAATGTAGTATTTTTTAAATGGTTGTTATATTAATTCACAATAATATCTAATTTGTCAGTAAATTGAATATATTGAGTATGTGATGGAGGATACAAAACACATGGACATTATAAAACGTGTTAATTTTTATTGAGTATGAAATATCAAACAACATCTTTCGGAGACATATTTTATTAACCAGTTAAAAATTATCGACGGACTTGATGCATAATTTGTTATGTTGTCCACTTTCCATAGTAAATTTTGATTTTTGTCAAAAAAACACAATTAAAGCTGTTTTTAAGAAATAATAAGCAATATTTTCAATATATAGCGCATTATCATAGTAAACAGTTGTGTTGACATCAAGATAGCACATCAACACACATGGCGTAGAGTTGTAGAATTCATGGGATTTAAAAAATATCAATTATCATAAATTTGCCCATGAATTTGATTCTCCATTAAATAAACTTCACTCAATAAATTATTTCCATTATGGATATGGTTGCTGGAATTACATCATGTGTTTGATTTATATGGTGACCTCTTTCCCTTATTATCTTATACACAATTAGGGCCAGAAAGGGCTGTGAAAAAGGGGACCATAATCCCCGGGGGACCATAATTTCTTTCACACCGGTTTGAAAAATAGGTGTAACCACGATTGCGGTTTTATTAAAGGGCTTTTCCCAAACTCCTAGAACCCTAGTTACTAAAAAACGTCTTAAATCGTTAGGCGCTTTGCGAGTGAATCTTAACTTTTAATAAGATACAAATCTTATATTTTACCAGAAATCATGCCTTGATAAGTGGCCTTACTCCAAGTGACACTCAGAATGACTGGTACTGTGGCGCAGTTGATTGGTATTCCAATGGCTAGAAACACCCAAGCAAGGTCAAGGCCGATCCAATTAGCACATAACACCAATGGTATGGTACAGGTGGTGACCCAAATAATGCAAAAGTTCTTATACGTAATGAGATGGTCCTGGTATTCATGATAACGACCATGCTCTTTGCACGAGTACGGTGGTGGAACTCCTATAATTTCGTTTAATTTTGATTTACGAGGTGTGTGCCGAGAGTCTTCATCATTTGCGCATCCCGAGCATTGAAATACAGGCTGACATTTACATTCATTGCGCATGCGCTGATCTTCATTCGTCCGTTGATCATTGTAGCTGACGTCGGAAAATTTCATTTTACCACACAACAAGCACCTTATAGATTCATCAAGTTGTTTCCTGAAGTGAAGGATGTGATAAGTGTTTGGTCTACGCTCCCCTCCAATGGTTCGTTGGAAATCTAATGTAGTTCGCCATGATACTCAATTAAACAGTTAGATTGAGTAGTACATTGCCACCAAACTCACCTGAATGGGTTGACGTAGGGTTGGTAGATGTCATATACGATCAGGGATGACACTGCTATCACCTCTGCAGATCCCGTGGACATAATAGCCATGAGGACCATGAGAAAAGTGAGATATTCCCCGGTTGTTCCTAGTAAAATCTGCGCAACTCGTGGAAGTGCCAAACCTTTAAAAAACGTACACATAGTAAACCTAAGAGTCTACTTTCGAGTATACAAGGCTGAATACCTGCTATTCATTCTACCTCTTTATCTCACATTGCTAAAGAGGGATGTTGTGGAAGGAAAGCAGAGTCTAGACCTCACTGAATTTTTCTGCATGTTGAGTCGTACCACATATTCACCTATCTACTTCAACAACGAAAAGTTTCAAATCTTCCGCTTTATGTGCTAATCTTACTGACCGGTCGAATTATTTACGTCCAAATCAATTAATTGTAAGTTTGAATAAGCCGGGGAAATCCTCTGTTATCTGATTGGTCGTTAAATTTGTAACTCATGAATCTGATTGGCTGTCTAGTTCAAGGCGCGTGTTGGCACTAGTCAAGTGACGGGGATTCCCGGTGATTGCCGCGAAATCAATTCTGTTCAATTCTGGCGGTTGGTTGTTTTGTTGATTATTTCAAAATATCGGCGATAATATACTCATAAATATATCTAAGGTATGTAAGGGAGCGAAATCTATGGTATACTGTAACTTTAATAGTTAGTCCAATTCATAGATTTCTGAGGTCATGAAAATTTAGAAGGACCAATCGAAATCGAAAATTAAGAGACTGAAACTAACAATAAACGATAAACCTATCATTCTATCATTACTGGTTATCTAGGACGATGGTATGACCAATGTCCTTTCTTTTTTCATTCCCTCTTGCTTATACGTATGCTTATTTGGTACTTGCCTCTAAAAACATCAGTCTGTGACAATAAAGGTTCTCCTTGTGCCTCTTCTATAGCAATGTATGCCAAACCAAACGTCGTGGCCATAACAAACGGGATTGCAAACCATGTCAAACCAGCTGCTACAAATCCCCAAACACCATGCGATGGTTTAGCCGCAATGCTACTTTGCCAGAAAGACTGGTCGCACACAACTGCTCCTCCTGTGAGCAATGCTACAGTGATGCCAAACATGAGGCTCCCGGGTGACAACATTGTAAGAAAACTTTCATTGTAATTACCAACTGGACCAGTTGCATTTATTAGATGAACGAACATCTTATCTGCGCTCCCGATTGGCAAGTCATCCTCTCTCGTGGAATCATTTAAGAATACGTCCTTTATCAAAACAATCATGAAGCAAAACACGAGACTTGTATTAACGTAAGAGACATAGAACGTTGCGCCAAGACCGCCGATGAGAGTATAGGAGCCAATAACGAAAGCCATGAGCATACAAGCAAGTTCTATGGACATATCCAAAATAAGACTCTCGAGGAGAGCTGAGCCAGCCAATAACAATGTCAAAGTCACAAGAATATTTGTAATGCCAGCGAATACACAGAAAACGATGTGAGTTGCCTTTCCAAATCGCACGCGAATGACCTGAAGAGATATACACATTAAATAGATGGGACTTAAACATGCATTGTAGAATTGACATCGACGCAGGATCAACCCTTAAATACTGCGTTAACACGCCTAACCATCGACAACGTACATGTACAGTGACAAAATACCGAGACTGCAAACTATTACCTCGCACACTGTAGATGTACGGTGTTACTACTATGCTGATTAACTGATTTGAAACAAAAACTATGATGTAGGTTTGATGTACATTTTAAAAAGGTCCATGTGCAGTATGGCAAGTGATTTTAGACAGTCATATCTTTCCCCATGAGTATTTTCTTGGTATAAATATAATACAGTGGTTTTTATTAAACAATATGTTTTCTTTAAATTGACGCCCCCATGATTGTAAAATATCAATCCCACTCTCTGAAAAATTATGGATTATGACCCCACCTTGTCACTTTTTTAAAAATGTAAGGCTTATTTTCTAAAAAGAAGATCTTGTTTTTTCAATTTAAATGTATCAAAAGTTTCTTTTACACTATATTAATAACTTCTGAAAAGGTGATGTGTATTGAAATGAGATAAAGTTAAAAACCACATTTTCCATGTTATTTTCCCACAGGGAAAACTCATGCTATCCGTTGTTTTCAGCATGATTTTGGTCATCGAAAATTGATATCTTCAAAACTAGACTTTCAATACCATTATCCTTTTGAAGATGAAGATGAATGAAGATGAAGAAGTTTTAGACCCCTTGTTGAATAATGTTTTCATGCAATTAAAATCAGAAAAAGAGGATCCTCTTTTGGGACTTCACTTGGAAGAAAACATATTGTTTTAATAAAATACACTGTATTTATGCCCAGAAAGTACTCATGGTGAAAGATATGACAGTCTAAAATCACTTGCCATACTGCACATGGGCCTTTAATCTGAGGAATACATAAAGGATTTCATGTTTAATTTTGTGTGTATTCGCTTGAAATGACTTTTAGCTTCCTGATTACATTAAAAGATACTTGAGTTGTGCAAGATTTTTTAGTAGTAAATCTACCTACAAAATTTATATGTTGGACAATCTTGTTTTCTTTACAATTTCTTTGATCATTTTCCCCTGTCGCCTAAGAGTGTCGATTATTTTTATACACAATTAAGGATGGGTGAAGATTTAATAAATATTATGTATTGGGCATAATAAAAACAATCAGAAATGTTCGTCGTCAACTCCATTGACGGTATCAGTGTAATTGAATTCCATGAGATATACTAGTACCATTAAACAATGCAATGATTTTATTTTATAATCCATTCATGTTTTCAGTGGGACAACGTACATCGAGTTGACAACATACACTTACGATTTTCTGAAATTGTAGCCAAAATGTAAATACTTATTAACTAATCCGGAAAACAACAGCCGAAATTTGCATCTCTAATATGCTAAAATGGCATACCTGTAGAAAGGTTTTTGCTCCCGGCGACTTCGTTTTAAGATGAATAGACAGAATTGCAAATAAAAATATCCCACATGAGACGGAAGCGCCATACCAAAATGCTCCGCTGATGCCATACTAAAAACACCGTTTGGTTTATGAGTTGTGGGCAGAATTCCCAAGACATTTTTATCACAAACGTGTGTCAGTATCATATTGCTTAAGAAAATGTACATGTTTGCGAACAAATAGTTCAGAAGACAACAGAATCGTCGATTTAATACCTCACTTTTGTAACGTTTCTTAAACGTAACCGTAAACGATTAAGATATACACTTCTAACCTGTTTAGTTCACTCTTAAGTATTCATAATGTTTCAGAAGGTCCAAAGGAACATTTTAACACAGGTTTAATTGATGTACTCGAGATGCCAATTAGGAATATTTCATATAGGGCCCCCTGGTGGTATCCCCAAATCGTTCACTACTATCACACCAAACTAGTTCTCACTACGTTCTTGAAAACGGGCTTAAACTGTGCACGAACGGATTTGACGTACTAAGAACCAACTAAGAACCGTTTGGGATCTGCTTACAAACTTCATGAAACTACTAGAACGAGTAGGTCCTCCAGCACTTAGAGCATGCTCAACATTTTCTGGTGATCATCAAAACGTTGCCGAATCGGTTTTAAACTGTGTGCGAACTGAATGAACGTAGCTACAACGTTCGACGGTCTGTTTACGAACTTCATGGACTTGCCCGGAAGGGGTATGTGATTTAGAATTTTGAATCGATTTAAAATTCGATGGCGACCATACCGTTCTGTAATCAGGTCATGATGACCTTCTAGACTAAGGGGCGGTTTATACTACGTTGCACACCGACGTGGTGCGACCTGAACGAACTAAGAACGTGATGGACGTATTGAAGACTGTTTATGAACGAAGTAGCTAATTATTTTAAACACGGTAAGAACTAGTTTGGTGTGATAGGGGGGTTAGTCACATATACATATATCTACTAGTAATTTAAAGGCCTCAAACCTGTTGTATTCTAGATGTCATAAATCTTTACCTGCTCCTATACTATAGCAGAGAGGTTAACAGAGACCTGACTATGGTAATATATCTAGCTTTTCAACATATGTACAATGAACTTTTTCATCGTTATAGATTCATTGTATTTTAGTTACCTGAACCGCCACAGTGACCGATTGCATAAAACTTGCGGCCCACGTCATCTGAGACACAAGTGTCGTTGCAGTTAGCCCAATAGACACCTTACCACCCGCATCAAAGGTAGTATCCAAATTAGACTTATCGTGAAATACAGTCTTTCTTACATATCTGAATACTGCTGCAATGATCATGGAAATCAGACCAAATCCTACTATAAGAAGCACAGCATTTCTCAGCTCAATCGAGGAAGTTACAGTCCCTGTTTTTCTGTTTAGAAATGTGTGATCAGCTGAATGACGATGGATACTGCAATTAGTTCAAACATGCCAAAAGAAGATGTATTTTCTTTTGTTAAAGAAGAACCTTGTTCGAAGTTATAGACTTAGTCAAGGTTTTAACATACAACCATCTTTGGAATGTTTTGAATGTAGTTCATTCTTTGTTATGCAAATAAGATTCGACTGAAAGTGTCTTCTTTTAGGCTTTGTATAAAAAACCTCCCACCTCATACCCAACTACCCACCTACGTGGGACATGATACAGTCATTGAAGGGTTCAATTTTAAATAATTTTAAATCTCAAAATAGCTCTAATTATTATCATTTCTACAATTCCGGCTTTATTCTATGACTAGATGGATGACAGATCCATAAATAAAGGTATATGGGTGCATTGTAAAGTGTAATGACCTGAGGGCACCCCAGAAGAATAACTAACTAATGACTGCGAGCATAGGTCCAACAAGCCAGATAAAGAAATGGAAAGAAAGTGTGCTAAATTCGATGCCCCGAGTGCCGAGTGGGAATCGAACCAAGCTGGGCTGTAGTAGCAATTTGATATCAAGGGTCATTACAAATGCATCTATAATTCATCATAAACTAAGATTTAATAAACTAAGATCTTTAAAATTGAACCCTTCAAAGACTGTATCATGTCCAACGTACGTGGTAGGTGGGTATGAGGTAGGAGGTTTTTTATACAAAGCCCAAAAGAAGACACTTTCAGTCGAATCTTATTTGCATAACAAAGAATGAACTACATTCAAAACATTCCAAAGATGGTTGTATGTTAAAACCTTGACTAAGTCTATAACTTCGAACAAGGTTCTTCTTTAACAAAAGAAAATACATAAAAACCTAAATAGGACAAGGTCATCATAATTATCAATAAACGATATAGTATTCATACCGTCTATACATGTCAAGAGGTACATACGAGATTTACGTAATATCAATGCACAAAGTGGGTCAATCTTAACGGCACTTTTACATATGGAGGTTCTGGTTAAACGGTGTATAAATAGAAAATGTTTGTTGTGTTAATATAATTCATTGCCTAATATATAGCCAACGCTCCAGGTAACATTATTCAAAATATAAAAACGAAATGGAACCTTAATACTATTACTTCCTTTATGAAATTATATTTCTATTTAATACATACAGTACCTGATATTCTTCAATCCTTCATCCATATTCATTTCAAAAGCTGCTGGATATAACTCTTTGACACAATACAAGAAGAAGTTTATTCAGCCTACATGCAGGTTTTCGTCTTCTTTTCACCTTTTGAGAAAAACTGAAAGAGACGAGGTAATATTTTAATGCATATGTAATGTTTCTCATGAATGCACAGGAAAGGCATATATCATTAACACTGAATAGGTGCTAGACAAACAAACCTGTGGTAGCAGATGCGTTTAATTTTTAGTAGTGTTTACTTTTTAAGAATCCATAAAAATGTAGCATTCAGTTTATAATATATACTAATTTTTCCTTAAATTAAAGCTTTTGATTTGATTTTGACTCATTGGAGTATACATAAAAATGAAGAACTACCTCAATGAGACGAAGCAAAGAAGCAACTTACGTAACTGTCGTATATCACTAAGATTCTCTTAATCCATATTTGGAATAATGATTAATCGCGCAGGCGCAATGCAGGTTTTTTTGGCACGACAAAAAGAAAGAGGGGGTACCCAAAATTCAAATATGGACCTACAGTATTCTATCGTCATGTAAATATGAACCCCTTTTGTTGGCCTATAACTGACACACGTCACTATATATCGTCAAACGATATGCATTGATTGGGAGCTAATGGAGACAAAATGGCCGATTCAAAATTTAACAAAAACTTCGAATAATGAACGTTGATTTCTGGCGTATTTACAGAGTGTTCCATTTGTTTCAGGAATGATGCTGTATTTTTCAATCGAGCTGAATTTTTAACAAAATGTGTCCAAATATGTTTTGAATAAGTTGGGAAAGTTTCATATCATGAAGCTTAATAGACTTAATGATACAGTTGCTATAGTAACCCAGGGGTAAGATAGGTGGAGCAAAACATGAAATATTTGTAAAAACAGTCGTTTTTTGTATGAAGTGTTAGAAAGTATTAGGTTGTCATAGGTACATCAAACGTGTCAAATCAATCAAATTAAAGCAAAAATTAAGGTGGATTCTTTGAAATTAAAAAAATTGTCATTATTGATGGTATCACAATTGACACCCATGGCATGACATGACAAGAGTCACAAAGGAGAATGATCACTGGTCATTTTGGCTGAGCGTGCAGCCATATCAGATACTTTGGATTATCTGTCTCAGATTCCCTTGATTTGAATCCCTTATACCAATCATACACTCTTGAGGTTTTTTTCATTAAGTCCCAATATGTACTCCAAGGGTATTTAATTTTAACTGCTGCAGAAAACTTATTTTCACAGTCCTGGACTGTTGTGCGTTACCTTAGTTGAAATTCATCTTTTACTGATGACATTTTCACTTTTCAAGATGGCCACTCAGTCAAAATGACCTGTGATTATTCTCCTTTGGTACCCATGACAAGAAGGGTTTTCAATATTGTGATACATCATCAATGATGACAATTCTTTTTAATTTCAAGTAATTCACTTTCATTTTTGCTAAATTTCTGACTTTGATGCAACTACAGTATGACAACCTTATACTTACCCACACTTCATAACAAAAGTATACTTTTTACAAATATGACATATATTTTACCGGTTGTTACACCTGCTCCACCTACCCTACCCCTGGGTTACTATAGCAACCATATTATTAGGTCTACTTACCTTCATGATATAAAACTTTCTCAATTCATTCGATCACACCTAACATGGACACATTTTGTCAAAAATTCAGCTAGATTAAAATGAAAACAACTAAAATACAGCAACATTCCTGAAACATATGGAACACCCTGTACCAATGCAATATAATGCCCGTATCAGCAAAATCCCGTATCAGATCCCGTATTGGATCCCGTATCAGCCAAAATCCCGTATCAGAACTATCAGGGAATCTCATGAGACTTAATATTTAGTGTTATAAATTATTATTTTAAAACTTGTTAAAAAAGTTGAAAATGTCTTTCGATAAATTAAATTGTATCATTGAATGTCATCATCATTGGGTGACGACATACAAAACAAGTGTAACAAAATTTTGATTTTAAATTTTTTGATTTAAGTGCTTCACAGTTGAGATTATTAAGATCTTTAATTGTAGTATCGATTAAAGCACTTTATTTGTACTTACAGAGGTGTTAGCAGAGGTGTTAGTTTTTATTTTATCGAGTTCAGATTTAGTTAATGTTGATCGGGTAGTTTTACCAGTGACTATGGTTACGGTTGATCGAGAACTCTTGACTATCATTTTACAGAAATTATTACTTCCTGCTTTCAATTCGATCAAATCGAAGCGTAATTAGACTAGATAGTGATCATTTATGGTTATATTTATTGAGTTTATACTATAATCTTGTTGATTATGTACCAAACATGTATTGATATTGGGTGTAAAAGCCGAGATCGTGATTTGTAAGTGAAGACAGTTATTTTTACGAAACTAATATCCTGATTCAGTGATTACATCCGGTGACGAGGTATTGCATCAGCCCATTAATCACTTGTTAGGTTCGTGTGCAAAACCTGTCTGGGGTATAAATACAGAGCACGGATCACTCCTAGCAGACACGTAGGCAACTTTTGAGTGGAACACATCTCTCGTGCCAGTGTTTCATTTGAGGATTGATGAGAAACTTAGAAGATTTGCTGGATCGAGGAACTTTGTCATTTCCAGACATAGTTTAGAATATTCCAACCTGTTTGAAGAAATACTGCTGGATCGAGGAACTTTGTCATTTCCAGACATAGTCTAGATAACTCCAGCCCGATTGAAGAAATACTGCTGGACCGAGAAACTTTGTCATTTCCAGGCATAGTTTAGAATATTCCAGCCCGTTTGATGAAATACTGCTGAACCGAGAAACTTTGTCATTTCCAGGCAAAGTTTTAGAATATTTCAGCCCGATTGAAGAATTACCGCTGGACCGAGGAACTTTGTCAATTCCAGGCATAGTTTAGAATATTCCAGCCGTTTGATGAAATACTGCTAAACCGAGAAACTTTGTCATTTCCAGGCAAAGTTTTAGAATATTTCAGCCCGATTGAAGAAACACTGCTGGACCGAGAAACTTTGTCATTTCCAGGCATAGTTTAGAATATTCCAGCCCGTTTGATGAAATACTGCTGAACCGAGAAACTTTGTCATTTCCAGGCAAAGTTTTAGAATATTTCAGCCCGATTGAAGAATTACCGCTGGACCGAGGAACTTTGTCAATTCCAGGCATAGTTTAGAATATTCCAGCCGTTTGATGAAATACTGCTGAACCGAGAAACTTTGTCATTTCCAGGCAAAGTTTTAGAATATTTCAGCCCGATTGAAGAATTACTGCCGGACCGAGAAACTTTGTCATTACCAGACTTAGTTTATATTATTCCAGCCTGATTGAGAAGGAGTGCCATCAACTTGTATTTTCAGGTGTTATTAAGTAACTTGTTTTTCTATTGTTAACTTGCGAAACTTTGCCATTTTTGAGATTGAGAAACTTACATTATTCTTTTCATAATTTAGCTAACTTGAGAAACTTAGCCATTTTTTTAGATCGATTATTTTTCATCAATTTGTTGACTGAAGTAATACTGCTGGTTTGAGGAACTTTGCCATTTCCAGACAAAGTTCATAATATACCAGCCTGATTGAGGAACTTTGCTGGATTGAGAAACTTTGTCATTTCCCGACATAGTTTATACAATATTCCAGCCTGACGGAAGAAATACTGCTGGTTTGAGGAACTTTGCCATTTCCAGACAAAGTTCATAATATACCAGCCTGATTGAGGAACTTTGTTGGATTGAGAAACTCTGTCATTTCCCGATATAGTTTATACAATATTCCAGCCTGACTGAAGAAATATTGCTAGACGGAGGAACTTTGCTATTTTCAGACAAAGTTCATAATATTCCAGCCTGACTGAAGAAATACAGCTGGACTGAGAAACTCTGTCATTTTCCGACATAGTTGATACAACTCCAGCCTGTTTGAAGGACTCTGCTGGATTGAGGAATATTCCAGCCTGATTGAGGAAATACAGCTGGACTGAGAAACTCTGTCATTTCCCGACATTGTCTATATAACTCAAGCCTGATTGAGAATAAGTACCAGAAACAGCTCATTTGGAGGAGCTGTTGAGGAACTTGGAATATTTTCACCCGACCTGGATGACTTTGTTGGAAACTAAGTACGAGACGCTTAGTTTATTTAGGAACTACTGGGAATCTTAGGCAGATTCCACATATTGAGGAACTTAGAGGATCTTCATCGCTGTTGCCTGTTGGGGAAGTTGAATAGTGTCACCCCCAACTTGGATGGCTTTGTTGGAAACTAAGTACGAGACACTTAGTTTATTTAGGAACTACTGGGAATCTTAGGCAGATTCCACATATTAAGGAACTTAAAGGATCTTCATCGATTTAGAAGCTACTGGGAATCTTAGGCAGATTCCACATATTGAGGAACTTAAAGGATCTTCATCGATTTAGGAGCTACTGGGAATCTTAGGCAGATTCCACATATTGAGGAACTTAAAGGATCTTCATCGATTTAGGAGCTACTGGGAATCTTAGGCAGATTCCACATATTGAGGAACTTAAAGGATCTTCATCGATTTAGGAGCTACTGGGAATCTTAGGCAGATTCCACATATTGAGGAACTTAAAGGATCTTCATCGATTTAGGAGCTACTGGGAATCTTAGGCAGATTCCACATATTGAGGAACTTAAAGGATCTTCATCAATTTAGGAGCTACTGGGAATCTTAGGCAGATTCCACATATTGAGAAACTTAAAGGATCTTCATCGATTTAGGAGCTACTGGGAATCTTAGGCAGATTCCACATATTGAGGAACTTAAAGGATCTTCATCGATTTAGGAGGTACTGGGAATCTTAGGCAGATTCCACATATTGAGGAACTTAAAGGATCTTCATCGATTTAGGAGCTACTGGGAATCTTAGGCAGATTCCACATATTGAGGAACTTAAAGGATCTTCATCAATTTAGGAGCTACTGGGAATCTTAGGCAGATTCCACATATTGAGAAACTTAGAGGATCTTCATCGATTTAGGAGCTACTGGGAATCTTAGGCAGATTCTCAATATGTGGAACTTAAAGGATCTTCATCGATTTAGGAGGTACTGGGAATCTTAGGCAGATTCCACATATTGAGGAACTTAAAGGATCTTCATCGATTTAGGAGCTACTGGGAATCTTAGGCAGATTCGACATATTGAGGAACTTAAAGGATCTTCATCAATTTAGGAGCTACTGGGAATCTTAGGCAGATTCCACATATTGAGAAACTTAGAGGATCTTCATCGATTTAGGAGCTACTGGGAATCTTAGGCAGATTCCACATATTGAGGAACTTAGAGGATCTTCATCGATTTAGGAGCTACTGGGAATCTTAGGCAGATTCCACATATTGAGGAACTTAGAGGATCTTCATCGATTTAGGGGCTACTGGGAATCTTAGGCAGATTCCACATATTGAGGAACTTAGAGGATCTTCATCGATTTAGGAGCTACTGGGAATCTTAGGCAGATTCCACATATTGAGGAACTTAGAAGATCTTCATCGATTTAGGAGCTACTGGTAATCTTAGGCAGATTCCACATATTGAGGAACTTAGAGGATCTTCATCGATTTAGGAGCTACTGGGAATCTTAGGCAGATTCCACATATTGAGGAACTTAGAGGATCTTCATCGATTTAGGAGCTACTGGGAATCTTAGGCAGATTCCACATATTGAAGAACTTAGAGGATCTTCATCGATTTAGGAGCTACCAGGGATCTTAGGCAGATTCCACATATTGAAGAACTTAGAGGATCTTCATCGATTTAGGAGCTACTGGGAATCTTAGGCAGATTCCACATATTGAGGAACTTAGAGGATCTTCATCGATTGAGGAGCTACTGGGAATCTTAGGCAGATTCCACATATTGAAGAACTTAGAGGATCTTCATCGATTTAGGAGCTACTGGGAATCTTAGGCAGATTCCACATATTGAAGAACTTAAAGGATCTTCATCGATTTAGGAGCTACTGGGAATCTTAGGCAGATTCCACATATTGAAGAACTTAGAGGATCTTCATCGATTTAGGAGCTACTGGGAATCTTAGGCAGATTCCACATATTGAGGAACTTAGAGGATCTTCATCGATTTAGGAGCTACTGGGAATCTTAGGCAGATTCCACATATTGAAGAACTTAGAGGATCTTCATCGATTGAGGAGCTACTGGGAATCTTAGGCAGATTCCACATATTGAAGAACTTAGAGGATCTTCATCGATTTAGGAGCTACTGGGAATCTTAGGCAGATTCCACATATTGAAGAACTTAGAGGATCTTCATCGATTTAGGAGCTACTGGGAATCTTAGGCAGATTCCACATATTGAGGAACTTAGAGGATCTTCATCGATTTAGGAGGTACTGGGAATCTTAGGCAGATTCCACATATTGAAGAACTTAGAGGATCTTCATCGATTTAGGAGCTACTGGGAATCTTAGGCAGATTCCACATATTGAGGAACTTAGAGGATCTTCATCGATTTAGGAGCTACTGGGAATCTTAGGCAGATTCCACATATTGAGGAACTTAGAGGATCTTCATCGATTTAGGAGCTACTGGGAATCTTAGGCAGATTCCACATATTGAGGAACTTAGAGGATCTTCATCGATTTAGGAGCACTTAGGCAGATTCCACATATTGAGGAACTTAGAGGATCTTCATCGATTTAGGAGCTACTGGGAATCTTAGGCAGATTCCACATATTGAGGAACTTAGAGGATCTTCATCGATTTAGGAGCTACTGGGAATCTTAGGCAGATTCCACATATTGAGGAACTTAGAGGATCTTCATCGATTTAGGAACTACTCGGAATCTTAGGCAGATTCCACATATTGAGGAACTTAGAGGATCTTCATCGCTGTTGATGTTGGGGAAGTTGAATAGTGTCACCCCCAACCTGGATGACTTAGTTTAGATAACTCTAGCCTGATTGAGGAATTACTGCTAGATTGAGAAACTTTGTCATTTCCAGACTTAGTTTAGATAATTCTAGCCTGATTGAGGAACTAAGTTGATTCCAGACTTAGTTATTTTATTTCAGGCCAGCTTGAGATTTGCCTTCATTGAGAGACTGTTATTCCAAGGCATAATCACTGAAGCTGTAATGAGAGACTGTTATTCCCAGATTTATACCTAGCTGAATTGAACAAGTCCAGAGCGCAAGAGACAATTGAGAGTACAAGTATTTTCGTATAGAGGACTCTAATATTAGTGCTTCGAAAACTATCATTGCATATCAAGAACTTTTATATAGTGCCTCAGTAACTGAAAACATCGATTTCCATGTATTAATTTGATGGGCTATAAATGCCACAATATATGTGTTATCTATAAAATTGTATATGAATGTTATGTACAGATTTCCCATGTGTATATTTAACGTATACCCTGAGACCCACAGTGACACAGTCTATTAAACAACATCCACACTACCATAATTAGGCTGAATGTTACACAAGTTTCAGAAAATTATTATTGAATAAATAGGTTATTGAATGATGGTCGTGATGGAACATGAATTTTTCCTCGTTAAAATATGATATTGCCCTCGAAAAACATCATATTTTCCCTTGAAATAAGATTCATATTCCTTCCCTTACGTCTTGATTGAGAAAGATATAGGAAATTTGTTTACTTCGACTCAAATATCACATCAACGGTATTCAGAAACTAGATGATGTGAATTTTGTTACACACGTGACAGCACTTTCTTAAATGAAAGCTAAATACAGGTACACAATTTTTCATTTAAAATAAGAAGAAATACTTAGAATTGGTGTTCCTTTTACCCATCCTAATTTAGATATTAACCAGCTAGATCTTATTATTTTGCAATATTTGTACTTGTCCTCCTTATTTATTGCACTTAACTTGACAAATAAGGGCTATTAGACACATGGTTACTAGGTTTCGAAGCAGATTAATACGTAGTTCATTTTACTTTCATTTGTATATATTAAAGTTACACAAAATTAATTTTCGTCATCAAAAAATAATAAAAGTTTTCATCATGGATTGGAATTCTGTTTTGATATTGAGTCCGTTCATTTTGATTCTCGGATTATCGCATCTGGCACCGATCTGTGGATTAACGGACACACAGAAACAAAGCATTGACGAATTTGTGCAAAATGTGATGGAATGTAGAGGAATTCCAGGATTGGCGATATCCATAGTTTACAATAATCAGGTCAGAGGCTTTGAATATAATCATGGGACGGTGTTGAAATGAATGAAGAAAGATGACAGTACTGAATGATCGCTGTCTATATAACTTTATAGACTTCTAATGTCATCATCATTCTGTCGACCTTCATAAGTAACTAATAAGTGGCCTTCATCTGCATATTATTACTGTGCGACACCGGAAAACAGCTAGTAAACAAAATTTCCCGATTTAGTGGATTATAGTCTATATTTTAAAAGATGAACATGTTTACAAGTTTAACCCCATTTTGCATTTATATGTTGAAAACGGTTGGTTAAAAATGATGGTTAAACATGCCAAAATGCGATAATCCAATTGATATTGATATAAATCTATGAACTTCTATCGAACGTTATACATAAGCTAAACATAGCCTACATATGTGTTTTTTGTGGTCAGAAAGTACAAGCAAAAAGGCAGTACAACGTCATCAAATCTGTTGCCGTAACTTCCGTGGCCTTTTCTCAGTAATTTAATATGTCTTTGAATTTTCAAAGTGTATAAAAACTGCGCATGCGTCCCAGCGTTGATAGACTATATTATATATATAGACTATAGGAAATTCATCCCGACATGTGTCATAGGTCAGCTATGGCGGTTTGAACCAATATCGTTAATAAATATTGAATGGCTATATCGTAGCTATTGTATTTAAGATAGCCCACACGAGTGGTTATTGAAATTTAGGATAACCCAACCGAATGACACCGTAGCTTTTTTATTTTTTAGATAGCATACACGAAGGGATATGGCTATTCCGACTTGGAGACGAGCGTTGAAGTTACTTCACAAACAAAGTTTGCCATAGGTTCAGTGACTAAGAGTTTCACGGCAACGTTGTTAGCAGACATGATTGACAAGGCTAACGATTATGAAAAGTGAGATTGCTGCATCATATATGGCAACCATATCATACCAAAATCATACCGTACGAGGGGTAGATATCGATAAATATCGCGATCGGTAATGTTGGATCTAGATATTATAAGTTATTGAATGATTTGAAGTGCAATACCGGATATATTTTGCTCGAGATATTCTGTGTTAGTACGAGACGAAGTCGAATGCCAATACAGAATATCAAGAGTGGTACAGCACAAGAACTGACCAATCAGAGGGCTTCATTTTACAGATCATAAGATAATATATATTCCAGATGTTGATCAAATAGCTGACCCTTTTCGATTATAGGCTTAACTGGCATACACCTCTAAAAGAGATACTTGGACAAAACTTCAAGTTGAACACGAGTTATTTGACTGAACTGACAACATTGGTTGATATATTATCTCATAAGACGGGAGTTCCAGGTTACGAGCGTGCTCTTTCAGCCGGGGTCTTTGTGAATTTGACAAGGAAGGAATACACGAAGTAAATATAATTTATACATTGAATATAGCTGTATCAAAGCTATATTGTACTGGAAAAAATACGTATTCGATAATTTAGCTGATACCCATCTATTGGGAAAAGTGTCCATGGGCCGGGAAAATACCATATTAATTCGATCATGCACTTCTATTTGTATAGAAGTTCCTGATATACGTATTTACGTCATTTATAGTTATAATAATGAATTAAAACATTTCATTCATACTGTTAGACGTCTTCGGTTCCTTGAGCCCGAGTTCGCTGTGAGGAGTGGTTCGATATACAACAATCATATGTACATGTTGGCTGGTCACGTGGCTGAAATACTTGCAGACGACACTGGAAAGATATCTTGGGAAAATCTTCTAAAAATGCATCTTTTACAACCAATAGGGATGAATTCCATCAGATTTGTTACACTAGACGAAACATGGGAAGACGTGGCAAAGGCTTACGTCCTTGTTGATGGAAACTTGACCTACGTCGGCATGGATATGATAAAGTATTTATGTTTTTTGGTTGTTCTTTTATTCAAGATACTACTAAATCTAATGTACCATCTATTTATTATGATTTGGGTCAAAATTGGTCACTAAGAACAGACACACCAGCATCTCAAACTCATAAAGGCAACAATTAAATTTTGAATTTAATTAAAATATTACCAAAATATAGAAACATGATTCGGCTTATAATTAGGCTAACTATTGATTGTCTTTACAGTAGTAATCGAGGTAAGAAAAGCTAACTTGGATCGCGATTGCAACTTTCAGCCGTCGGTTACCGGGAATAACTCACTATTTTATTCTTGGCAACTCAATTAAACAGGAATTTTCTCTGTCACTATTCAATTCATATTTAAATGTGTTGGTCATAGGATAATAGATTAATCCGGTAGCTGACAGCCGAAAGTTGCATTCGCGAATACAAATCAAGAAATAGACGTACGTCATATAAAATTCTCAAATTGCAGTTAACATGATCCCCCAGCAAATATCCTCTCTATTTGGTCGTAAATATAAATAGTAATTTTCATTCCTTGAAGAATTATCCTCCCCATTAATATATTTCCGGATAGGACATTAGTCCAAGGCTTTTGCAATATCTCTCTATGGCGTGCAGTCACTACTTATTTAATTTTATCAAGTGTTCCATGACTCTACTTTCAGAGCGGCTGTTCCGATAGGTCCTGCGGGGTCCATTTTCTCTACAGCAGACGACATGGCTATGTGGCTCCTGTTTCACATCAACCATGGAAAAACTAAGGATGGAGAGGAATTAATCGATCACGAAATTCTAGATGTAAGATACGTGCATGGTTTTTATTTCTTTTATGACCGACCAGATATATGCGATCAAATTGTCTAGTTTTATTATTATTAAGGTTAGAGTTCATTGTTAACTTTAAACTGGTTATGAACCAGGTTTAATGTTGAACGTTTTCATTGTATCTAGACTTCATTCATACCAGCAACCGCTCCCGCCTTTACGTGCACCCAACCGTAGAATTCAATGCCGTTGATCACGTCATTAGCGCCCGTTTCTTTTTGGATGTGCACGATTATTACAAACCCAAATCACCTTCATATTCCAATATCCTAACTAGTTACCAGCTTCACCCCCAGGTGGCTCATTCGGGTCATATAGCATGGTAGAAAGTTCCCTTCTTAAATATTCATCAGTTTTAGTGGTTCAATTTTCATTTCACCCTTACGTAATTAAATTAATTAAAATATGTCCAGTAAAAGAAAATAGTATCTGTCCAACACAAGAAAAGATAGATATTTTACTTTTTCTGATTTTATAACATTGGGTCTATGAGGAATCTCCCTCCTGAACTCCCTCCTGAAGTCACATTTTCAAAAGAATCAAATTTTTAAAGTTGATAAACGATTTCTAAACCATATAAGTAGATGTACTTTGACATGTAGATTTCATAAATGATATCACTTAGACTGAATTGTGAATATTTAATGACGTAAATCAGGATATTTTCTACTCACATCTAGTCTATTACAAAGGTTCAACTAATCTGCATAGTGTGAGACCTTCAAAGGCCTAGGCCTTGATATCATAGCTATAGCTATTAACAGAAAAAAACATGGTCCTTCCCGAACTCCCGTGCAGTGATATTATCACTGCGGCGGGCAGGTATCTCATCGTAAGCATGGTAACTTCGTAATAAACAACTGACGTGATTGGTTCTAGTCCCATGCTCAGGTCGCGTGATTGTAAAATTTAGACAATTTCATTGGTTGAATTGCGCGTATTAACTAATAAACAACACGTGCGGTAAACTATTATCAACAAAACTTTTACTCAGAATTCCTTCCGCGGTGATTTCTTCTCATATTTCAATAATTTTGAAATATTTTGACAAAATAATGATTGGTGAACATAAAAGAACATATATTTTATAAGTTGTATGAAAATCAAGTACATCTGTGACAAGAAGGGGGACTAACTTCCCCAAATTTTGGGGATTCCATAATTTGCCCGCCGCAGTGTCTATACCGAGACACTGCATGGGATTTCGGGTCCTTCCTAAAACTTTATGTGGTTTCCCCCATTATAAGTCACGTGATCTATATTCAGAATGAATGCTCAGGTTTCGCCGTCTCAATGAAAATCAGCACAGGAATTCCTACACACTTTTTCATAATCTCATCAACGTCAGTACACAATTTTGAAAGTGGTGGGGTTCAAAACATATTTAATTTATCAACTCAAAAATGAAAAAAAAACTGATATCCATCAATAATACGAGTTGGCGTTATCCTAGTATTTAGGTAAGATAGTGATCTTGAGACAATATCTCACAGATTTTGCCAAACTGTCTTCTATTTCTTGTATGTGGCTTTAGAATACAGTTTTATATTTGTTCCAGGAGATGTATCTTGGTCAAGTGTCACAACCATCACTGAACAATGATTTGACAAAGCCTACATAGCCCATCGATTCAGTCCAAAGTTCCTATAATTTGGGATTGGATACATACTTTTATAGAGGTAATTCAATGAGGACATACTAACTAAAGATAATGACTGTAATATTATATAATATATATATATAGGGTGTCAAAAAACAACGGCACCCCCCTCTACAGCAAAAAGTCCTTAATGTTACATATCGTGTCATACCTCATTTGAAAGATAATTTAATTCTGGAGTTACTCATCAAATTTCATTTAAATAAAACTTTATATTGAAAAAGCTACACTGTTCCAAAGTTTGCTACTTCGGTACTTTGTTTGCTGCACTGATTAAAGGTCAAATCTTAAGAAAGTAAAATATGAAAGAATTAGCCCAGATTTCAACTACAGTCTGTGTCAGCTGATGCTATACCTAGAAGGTCTTTCAAGAAGCACTTAAAGCCATACTGGTCTGATACACTGAGCCAGTTATCTACAGACAAGAAGTCAGCATTCAAGATGTGGAAGTTGAATGGAAGACCAAGGAACAAAGAGAATGAGCACTGGATTCGCTATAAGACTGCAAAGCGCCAATTCAGGCGGGAAATCCGTCGTGCTGAGTACAAGTATGAGATGGAATGTCAGGAGGAAATCGACAGAGCGGGAGAGATAAGCTTGAAGCAATTTTGGTTTATTGTTAAGAGACGGAGAAATCGGAGTAATAGTAGCTATTCTATACGTAATAAGGACGGAATAATCTTAACACAGACTGATGAAATCCGGAGTGAATGGATGAATTATTTTAAAACATTAATGTCAATAAAGCCAAATGATAATTTTGACAGTAATCATGAACATGTAATTAACACAAGAATAGTAGAAATGCTGCAGGACAGTTTTAACAATGATGATGAAGCGTTAAATGATCCTATAAACTACAAAGAGATGACTACTTTAATTAACAACCTCTCTCGAAACAAGGCTACAGGGTGGGATGAAATCAGCACTGAACATTTACGCTTTGGTGGTGACGCACTTGCCAATATACTTGTAGCATTGTACAACCATATAATTAGACTGGAGCACATCCCAGATAGCTTTAAACTTGGTGTACTAATCCCCATCTTTAAAGGAGGAACAAGGATATTTTGGAGAAGGACAACCATAGGGGCCTGACGCTGATGACGACCTTCATGAAGTTATGGGAAAAGATTATGGTAACGCGGAGCAGGAGGTGCCATAGGATTGAGCCGAAGTCAGAGATGCAGGCCGCAAACAAGACCATGACGTCATGTCTCCACACATCGCTTCTGACAAGAGAAGCCATATGTAATGGCCTTGAAAGTGGTAATGACGTCATAATGGTCACAATGGACATTAGCAAGGCCTTCGACACGGTGTGGCACAATGGCCTCTTCTACAAGCTTTTTTATCTTGGGATACATGGGAAGCTATGGAGGATGTTGCGACTATGCTACAGTGACTACCAGTGCGCAGTAAGGTGTGGAAATGACGTCACACTCTCAGATAAGTTCCCGATCTCTCAGGGAGTTCATCAGGGAGGATTGTACTCCATGGAGCTATACGGGGAGTATATGAATAGGCTTCTCTTAGATGTGATTGACTCTGGTAAAGGGTGCTCTGTGGGTGATGTACTATGTACATGTCCATCCTATGCTGATGATACTGTCATTATTGCCTATCATAAAAAGACAATGCAAGACATCTTAAACATGATGCATCAGTATAGCATTAAATGGCGCTTCAATTATCATCCGGACAAATGTAAGGCCATCATATTTAGTAATAGTCGTGCCACTCAACAGGCAGGAATAGACTTACAACTTGGAGGTCGTACAATAGATGTAGTCCAAACAACACAACATGTCGGCCTTCCAATGTCGAACTACAACAGTAATAGAGAACTGATAGAGTCTGCACTATCAAAAGGAAAGAGAGCAATGAATGCATATGTTGGGACAACAACACACACCCAGAACCCAACCAACCCCCTCACTGCGTCTAAGTTATATTGGTCTGTCAGTATGCCTTCTATGACGTATGGAATGGAACTTGTCCCCCTCAGTGAAACCGATTATAAGATGCTCGAGCAGGGACATAGAAGTATATGCAAACAACTACAAGGCTTGCCAGTAAGCACATCTGACCCAGCTGTCCTACCCCAACTAGGCTGGCATACTATGACGGCGACTATAGTAGTGGCTAAAATGATGTTCCTGCTACAACTTCTATCTCATGTATCAGGTTCGATCTTCCGTACCATAGCAATAAAGCGTATCACGAAGTTCAGATATGACAGTAACCCGCTACACAAAATGTCACCTATTGGTGACATAATGACACTCGCATCACGGTTTGGCATATCAAACGTGATATATGAAATGATGGACAGTGGTGAAGTTCCCCCAAAATCTACCTGGAAACGATATATTAGGAATATAGTAAGGACTTTTGAATGCAACATGTGGAGAAGAGAACTTATTACATATGATAAATTAACATTATACCGAACTGTAGTCACTGGTACGAAACCGATTGCCTGGTGGGAAATAGCTAGGCAGGACTGTAGATACATTAAGAGATGCACCCTGATGGTACGACTGCTCACGGGTCAAGGAAAACTCCGAGCTATTACCGGTGAATGGGAAAATATTCCGGTGTATGATCGCATATGTGGAATGTGTGACATGCAACGCATTGAAACTCTGGAGCACTTCATCTTGGAATGCCCCAGATACTGCTCATTAAGAACAAATATAACAAATATATTACATAGGATACCCAATGGGAGACGCATGACTAACATACTGAAGCTACGGTGCATATTTGGAGGAGATGAGACTCTAACAAACGAAGATCTTAAATGCATCTCAACAGCTGTGCAAAATATGTACATTCTAAGGATGGAGTGATACTGTAACACGAAGCACCAATCAGGATGTCAACAAAGAGGCGTGATTGGCACTCCTGGTGATGTCCTAGACAACTGCTTTTGTATATAATTTCCTTCTCATTTTGAAATCGTAATGGTTCGCACAGTGGTGCAGTGGGACCCCCAGGGGAGAACATGGGCTAACCAGGAGGGTTCTGCTGTATCAATGCTTTCCACTTGTCTTTGTATTTTTATAAATCTTTATTTTTATTACATTTATTATATACTGTAATGATATATTATCTCCATGATTGGAGGGGCAATAAATATAATAATAATAATAATAATACACTGAACACATGGGCTCAGTTCTGAAAAACAGGGTATAGGAATTGATGGAAAAAGAGCCTCTTGAAAAAAGATACAGTAAGGATGTAATTCTGAAGAATGTGGGGAAAGTGCTAATGCTACACCTTTATCTGAATTTTTGTTGAAATCATATCCATCCAGATAAGCTGCTTTATCCCATACTTGGACGTGTTACAGGTACATAAAGCCAGTTTGCAAAAACTTATATTTTCATCAGCGGGCAAATATAGCTTTACGTCCCGCTCCGAGCGGGCAGATATAGTATATCTACCCGCTACGTCATAATCGTCGCTCGCATATTTGTTCATAATTTGTAACGTTCGCGTAATGACTGTAAACGACAATGGAGAAAACACAGACAATCGGGATCTGTTTGATAGCAAGGAGCATCCACTTAATCAATCAAAAATTCGAGAAAAAAATATGGGAATATTTGAGAGAACAGGAAAATCCACCCACGGCCAAGAAAACAAAACTGGACATGAATATTCTAAAATATTTCCACGATTGAACAATGTGAACCAGATGACCAAGATTGGTATGGGATAAACATATTATCCTATAGTCGGTTCAGGATATTGGGATTATCCCTTGGCCAATATAACATATTTTCCCTCGGGACCTGCAGCCCTCGGGATAATCCCTTGGGATAATCCCAATATCCTGAACCTCATATAGGATAATCTCTTTGTTCGAGCAGCAACTGGTGGTCATACCTACTACTAAAAATCAGCTGTAAATCTGTAAAATTATATGATATAAAGCTGATATTTCTCAGGTAACTCCAGAATTAAATTGTCTTTAAAATGAGATATGACACACCATGTAACATTAAGTACCTTTTGCTGTAGAGGGGGGTGCCATTGTTTTTGACACCCTGATACAGAAAGTAAACATCCGCACCTTCATGCATTATGTATATATTTCTCAGTACACCATATTAATATTTATTCTACTAGATGACCACTGAATTAAAAAACTGGCCTCGATTTTTCATGAAAAGGACCTCTGCTCCAAAAAGAACCTTTTTAACTGCCTCCTTAAATGCCTGTTAACTAGCTGAATTATCATAAGAAGGTGTAACATGCTAGGCACATATACAATTTCAACAAAATCCACTACTTTTCGAGTTATAGTAAAAAGAAAAATGGCGGCGAGAAAAAATGGTGGCGATTTTGAAAATGGCGACCTACAACAAAATCGCTTAACTAATCTCCCAGTTGTAGCAAATATCATAAAATAGCGTGCAACAGCCACCATTTTTTCAAGAAAGCCACGATGAATTGTTTAATATTTAAACTTTTAAGTTAATCCATATCCTATATATTTGTTTGCATATAAAACATATCAATATTACAGTTCTATATGTTGTACCTAAGATACTAAAACATTGACAATAACATGGCGGCCATTTTGAAATCGGCAGCTATTTTCAAAATCGGTTTTTGAACAGGACTTGTTCTTTAATGGGGCATATACAAAAAATATAAGCGATATTGGTCTGACAATATTTGAGTAATTTCCCGGACGGACGAGCGGACGGATGTACGGGCGGATGCACGTACGTACGGACATACGGACGTTCGATGTGAGTGAATAAATTTGCATTGTATTCACATATTAAATAATCCTGTTTGATTTCAGGGTTTAAGATGTTAGGTCATTTAGGTGGAATACACGGTTTTCAATCAGACTTCAGATTCTTCCAAAGGGAACAATCTGGTGTATTCCTAGTCTTGAATGGCCAAGGTTATTATAATGGTGGGACAGCAACGTCGATGATAAGAATGTATGTATCGGATATTCTACTTGGCCTTGACCCCTGGCTTAACAAAACGACAGCTTGTACATTTCCTGAACCTTGGGCTCCTGGCACGCCTTCAGTAAATCCCGTACTGCCAGTATACAACGACAGGGCCCCGAGACCTTTAGTTGACTATGAAGGCACCTATGGACATCTTGCATTCGGGAATGTGACATTTACATTAAATGCTACCATCAATAAACTTTATATGAGATATGGACCTTTCTTTGAAGGTCATTGTTCTTATGATGCAACTCAGGGTGTGTTTATGATGTCATATGAAGGTATTTATCAATACCAAAATGATTATTTCCCTGCTAGATTTGCTCCGAACAATTCAACTGGAAATATTGATACTGTGTATTTGAAGATTGATGATTTAAATCCAGAAGCGTTTATCCGTGGCTTAAAGCTTGCTGATGTCCCAGCTGATATCGTACCGACACAGGACCCTGCTTGCCCTACACCTGATCTAAGTGGCTCGGCAACTAATTTTGCGAGAAAGAACATTATTGAATTACTTACGATGACTTTCATCCTACACATGATCATTTCAAAGGGGTATAATATAAGGCTTGAAAGCTGAGAGTGTCGACTTTAAGAATCTGACCTCCATACTATTTTTTGGTGATTTGATATTAACCCTTTTATCCCAAATGAGTGAAATGAAGAAATCAAATCGGAAAATGACAATCGGTTTATATTTTCAATCTAAAAAAATTCTGACACATTTTGGTTCAATCACTTAAATATTCGGCAAAGTATAATTTGACATTGAACTAGTTATTATTCTGGCCATGGGGTATTTGTCATTTTGAAAACGATTTTAATAAAATTAATAAATGACTCCTTAGGGATAAAAGGTGAATATTTCGAACGGAGGTCTGATTCCTAAAACAGACAGACAAGCTTTCCAACGGTGTATTGGAACCTTTGAGCAAAAGAGTTTTAATTGAACCTAGTTTGTACTATTTATATATAAAAAATGATAGTTAAGAGTGTACCTTTACTTTAATTCAGAATGCAAAATTATGATTGTTTATGAAAAATATATAAATATTAAATGGGGCATTATGTTCACCAACATTGTAAATATAAATATAAGCCAGCCAAATCTTATTATTTTGCAATAGTTATACTTATTTATCGCACCTAACTTGACATTTAGGGTAATTAAGCAGTAGACACATTGTTAATAGACTTCGCAGTAGATAAGTAGTTCAAAGATACATGTATCACCATGATCACCAAAAGAACGTTTTCCCAAATTGGTCGCGATTCTGTTTTATGTATTAAGCCAGTTCAATTATTTCTCGGATTATCACAGCTGGCCCCGATCTATAACGGATACACAAAAACAAGGCATTGACGAATTTGTGCAAAATGTCATGGACTGAGATATTAGACATTGTGATTTGAACCTTGGCAATTTAATATGTATCTCATTGGAGAAAAAAGTAGGCCGTGTTCCTCCTAATAGAAGAAATGAAGCATCATCTCGATCACGTGACTGGGGTTTGCACTTTAAGGTCAGCGATATATTGATTAATCTCACATTTCTTAGCAGAACTGAAGCTGTAGGGAATCGCTAATATAAACCAGCCAAATCTTATTGCTTTGCAGTGTTTGTGCACAGGTTGTACTTACATGTTTGTATTGCACATAACTTGATGTAAGGACGATTTAACACAGGGTTATTAGACTTTGCTGCAGATAAGCGGTTAAATTAAAATTTACTTTAATATCTGTAAATGTATATCAATTAAAGAATCTTCGTCATCAAAACGTTTTCATCATGGGTCTCAATTCTGTTTTGAAAGTGAGCTGCCCGTTTATTCTACTAGTATTTCTTGGATTATCGCAGCTGGCTCCGATCTACGGATTAACGGACACAAAGAAACAAAGCATTGACGAATTTGTGCAAAATGTGATGAAATGTCGAGGAATTCCAGGATTGGCGATATCCATAGTTCACAATAATCAGGTCAGATGCTTTGAGTTATAATCATACAGGGCGGGACGGTGTTGAAATGATCCATTACAGGGGCGGATCTGGGAACCAACAAGGAGGGCCCAAACTTCTGGTCTGAGAAAAAAGATTTTGAAATTCTGAGGCCCATTATGACCAATAGGCCCACTTTCTGGGGCCTTAAGGCCTTTTTTGGCGGGCCCCTGCCCCCCCCCCCCTTCGTGATAGTTCGCTGTCTATTCTTAAATAGACACTAGGCTATTGCATACAGCCATCATTTTTTTTTTTCTGTCGACCTAGTAGCGTAGAGAGACCCACTCTATATAGCTATAGAGTGTTGCTGATATTTTAAGTCTGAGTCAAAATTCTAGTGAGTACTTTGAATTTGAAAACTAAGCAATCAAATGACTATATTACAACAGTATATTAAAAAATAGAAACATATGTACAAGGCCTAACTTTTGTTTCAGATAGTATTTTTAATGTGAAGCAACGCTGTGGTCTTCAGTAATTTAGGAAGTTTCAGCCATTTTTCGAAAATAACGTGGCAGAGAAGAATCAAAATATAAGAGGTCACACATATGATAGTCAAAATACAAAACAAACTTGAATAATCACAAAAGTTAGGTTATGTATAAATGTTTCTATTTTTACACAATATTATTGATTGCTTATTTTTTTAATTCAAAGTACTCACTAGTATTTTGTGACTCTGGCTATAGTAGCATAAGAAACATGATACAATTTAGGCTCTTGCAAAAAGTTTAAAAAGATTATCATTGCTTTCATATTATTTAGAAGCTTTAGAATTGAATGTGAATAACTTGAACTTTGTAGAAATACTGATCAATCTGTATTCACTGACATTTCAGATTATTGTAGAAAATCCATTCTATATATTTAAGATTACTGCCTTTGTGAACATATCTTAACATTAATAAGCTTGGCCTTGTGGAAAGCTAAGTTTACATGGTTTTAGAAAATACTTCGAAGGAATCTGGTTATTCCCTACTGATTAATCATCAATCGCAAAATTCCATATGATGCCAAGGATGCAACAGTTCACTGTCAATTATGGCAAAAACCTAATTCACGTCACCATACTAGTCAATGGGCAAAAGGCCAAAGGGGCCTTGTTTTTTTTATTTCGAGTTATATAGTTTTGGCCCCATTGGCCTATCTGGAGTTTAAAAGACAATGTCTAAGCTACACGTTGGTGCTAAACTCAATAGGGGTCAAACATCTACTTTTTGAAATGATTGTTGGTCAGTTGTGACAGTACCCTAATTTCTCTGCCGCCAAAAATTGAAATTGATCAAAAATGAAGCCATAATTACTGATACGTCACGTCACTTGTCTCGAAATTTTCCTTCGGATCTGAACCCAAAATAAACGTATTTGTAGAAGAAATGGCATGTTATCTTGGAAAAAGATGACAAATGTACCTACATACTAGCTGGCTGACTCGTAATGATCACAATTGTGTTGGGACTACATTCATTTTTAAAACTACTTATTTTTCAGCGGAAGTGACGTAATTAGGGCATTTTTGTCTAATAGCCTCGGGATGCAATAGTCAGCAACGTATTCCCATGATTCAACAGTATTCGAGCCGAGAATTCAGCATTTTACCCAGCATTCCTAGCTCTCAAAATACAATAAAATCTGGCAGCAGACTATTATGCCATTTTGTAACAATTTCTCTCGGCTTTAGGAACACACGGGGTATTAAGATTCTCTGTTTAGTGGACTTTTGATTGATATAAATAACCATATTGGGATTCGGACTGCAATTCAAACAGAGTTAATGAATCCTAATATGAGATCATATTTGTATTGGTATTGAGGTTCAAACACATTTGATGTAGAGAAAACAACATCCTTCGCTATAATGATATTAAAATGATATACAAATAACTATATTTGGATTCAAACAGAGTTGACGAATCCTAATATGAGATCATATGTGTATTGGGAGTGCATTCTGATACTCATTGCGTCTCACTAATACTCATTGTCGCATCGCAGATATCCAGAAGGATAAAGATGGAGAGGGTGTATTTGCTGGTATTGAGATTTGGACACATTTGCTGAAGGGAAATCAACGTCAAGATTCAAATGGGGATTGAACCAAATTTGGCGAATCCTAATATGAGATCATATTTTTATGTGTATTGAGATTCGGACACATTTGCTGCAATGATATGAGTTACTATGGGATTTGTATTGGGATTCAAATAGACAATTAGACATTCAAACAGAAGTTATGAATCCTAATATGAGATCATATTTGTATTAGTATTGATATTCGGACACATTTGCCGCAATGATATAAGTAACCATGTTGGAAATTATGTTATTATATTATTATAACTTTTGTAATTTAAGATAGCTTGAGGTTATAATTTTTATATTTTAACTCTTGAACGAAAGGTTATAACTCTTGTATTTTAAGATACGTGTAGCTTAACCGAATGGCTAAAACTCTTGTATTTTAAGATAGCTTAAACGAATGGTTATAACGCTTGTATTTTAAATAGCTTAAACGAATGGTGAAAACTCTTGTATTTTAAAATAGCTTAAGCGAATGGTTGTAACTCTTGTATTTTAACAAAATACTCTTGTATTTTAACAAAATAAGATAGCTTAAACGAATGGTTGTAGCTGTTGTATTTTAGATGGCTTACACGATTATTTATATAATACTGTTTTTATTATTAATGATTGTATACCCGGGCCTCAGATTTATACCTCTTGCATTTTAAAATATCTTAAAGGAATTGTTATGTATCTCTTGTAATTTCAGATGGCTTAAACGAATGGTTATAACCTTTGTAATTTAAGATAGCTTAAGAGTGGTTATAATTCTTATATTTTAAGATACCTTAAACAAATGGTTATATCTCTGTTGTAATTTCAGATAGCTTAAACGAATGGTTATACCTTTTGTAATTTAAGATATCTTAAACAAATGGTAATAACCCTTGTATTTTAAGATACACGTAGCTTAACCGAATGGTTATAACTCTTGTATTGTTAGATAGCTTTAGCAAATAAATGTTTAAACTCTTATATTTTAAGATAGCTTAAACGAATGGTTATACTCTTGTATTATAACTCTTGTATTTTAAGATAGTCCACACACAGACACGAATGGCTATGAATCTTGTATTTACGGAAATTTTTAAGTATTTTAACGAACGGTTGTACCTCTTGTATTTTAAGATAGCATACACCAAGGGATATGGCTATTCCGACTTGGAGAAGAGCGTTGAAGTTACTCCACAAACAAAGTTTGCCATAGGTTCAGTGACTAAGAGTTTCACGGCAACATTATTAGCAGACATGATTGACAAGGCTAGAAATTATGAAAAGTGAGATTGCTGAACTTCCGTTTGTCAAATATATCACCTGAAATCACACTAAAAATCATATCACACAAGGGGTAGATATCGGTACTGATAATGCAAAGGCCTATTAAAGAAAAACATTAGATAACTGACATTTTTTTTATTTTAGGCTTAACTGGCACACGCCTCTGAATGAGATACTTGGACAAAATTTCAAATTGAACACGAGTTATTTGACTGAACTCACAACATTGGTTGACATATTATCTCATAAGACGGGAGTTCCTGGATACCATAGTGTTTTTACAGCCGGGGTCTTTTTGAATTTGACAAGGAAGGAACACACAAGGTAAATATAATTTGTACAATTATTGAATATAACTGCAATATATCAAAGGCATCTTGTAATGGAAAAATTTTTATTCCACGATTTAGTTGATGCTCCTCTATTGGAAAAAGTGCTCATATTCATTCGACGATGCGACAATTCTAGTACAGTCATCATTATGAATTAACACATATTTTATTCATGATGTTAGGCGTCTTCGTTTCCTTGAGCCCGAGTTTGCCGTGAGAGATGGTTGGATATACAACAATCACATGTATATGTTGGCTGGTCACGTGGCGGAAATACTTGCAGACGACACAGGAAGTATATCTTGGGAAAATCTTCTAAAAACGCATATTTTACATCCAATAGGGATGAATTCCACCAGATTTGTTACACTAGACGAAACATGGGAAGACGTGGCAAAGGCTTACGTCC